CAAGGGAGTCTGGGAAATGTAGTTTAGCAGTGGGTTTGGGAGGAAAACAAAGCTGGTTTTCGTAAACACACAGTAGTCTCTACCACAAGAGCATACGAGCATTTTCCTAGAAAGAAAGGTCGGGTTCTCAAAAGAACAGACAAGTCCCTAGAAGGTTAAGAACGCACAGTTTATTCAGACAATGTACTTGAGTGTCAGCTTTTCTAGTTATTGTCTCATTTGGGTCCTGCCTTCCTGAGACCCTACCCCCGTTCCTGCGCTGAAACTTGGTATCCCCAAGTCCCCCGTGCACATATTTACAGACTCATTTATTCAATACACATTTACTGAGTGATTCCTCAGTGCCAGGCTCTGTGCTATGGGCCAAAAACATAGCAATAAATAAAACTCATGCCCTCCACTCAGAGAGCTCACAGTGAATGGAAGTGATAGATACATAAACAGATAATATTATTTTAAAAATTGGTAAGTACATTTATAAAGATTGGATCAGAGTATTATAAGGATGAGGAAGAGTATTCAACCAGGCTGAACCAAGTCTTAATGAATGAGTAGCAGGGAGGAGAGTCATTGTGGAGAGGGTGAAGGGCATGAGAAAAACTCTAAAGACAAAGAACTCTTTGTAAGGTCAAGAAAATGTTAATCTGGGAGTGAGAACAGAGAGGTCAGCAGGGCTCCGATTATGGAAGATTTTAACCCAGTTAAGAAGATTACACCATCTGCTGGATTACTTTACAGATGGCTAATAGTATCTATTATGTGTTGATTTTTACTAACAACTCCCAAGGATAAACTTAATTCTATGTACAGGGGGTACCTGCCTGCCCTCCCTGCTACCACCAGCATCCCGTATACTCAGCAGTGTTCCTGGTTGAGGAAAATCACTGACGACGATGATAGCTAACTTTGGTTGAGTAGCAGTCATGCTCCAGATACCCTTCTAAGCACTTTCTAGATATTAACTGGTTTAAACTTTACCAAACTAAGACCAAACAGTTCTGAGACCCAGAAGAGATCCAGAGGTGGAAGATTCAATGTTACTTAAGGATCCCTAATTGCATCAACCCATGGGTGAGTCTCAAACATGGAGGTCTGCCGTTTCTACTCTCTCCCAACCCATCTCTCATCCCTATCATGGCCTCTAATCAGGGTAAGGATCTGATCCAGAGCAACAATGGGGCTACTAGGTTATAGATCTTGAAGAGAGAGACCGTGTCTTGCCCATCTGTATTAGTAACGGACTAACTGCTGTAATAAGCAATTCCCAAATGTCGGTAGATTAACTCAATAGAGGTTCACGTTGAACTTGTCTAAACTTCAGTGTGGGTGTTTGGTGGGCCACCTCTTTTGTTGTGACTCAGAGACACAGGATCCTTCCGTTTTGTGGCTCCACCATCCCCTAGGGCCTCAGCATTCTCGGCAGGGTCCTCTTTATCAGAGTTTCTCAACGTTGGCACTGTTGACATTTGGGATGACTCTTTGCTCTGAACTCCTGTTTTGTGCATGGTAAGATGTTTAGCAATATCCCTGCCCTTTACCCAGTAGATATCAGTAGCACAGCTATCAGTTCCTCCCTCTACCTCTTGTAACAACCAAAACTGTCTCCAAACATTGTCTAATTGTCTAATATCCTCTGGGGGGGGGGTCATAATTGCCCCTTCTCCATTGGGAACCACTATTCTATACCCAGTTGGCAGACAGAGGAACAAAGGAGTATGGAGGGCTGCTTGGGACTTGTGTGTTTTATGAGCCAGGAAATGATAACATCATTTTCACCCACATTCTATGAATCATAATTTAGTCCATGGCCCCACCTGACTAAAAGAGAGGCTGAAAAATGGATTCTAGCTAATAGCTCAGAAAGAAAAGGATGCTGGGTTTGGGTAGTACATGGAAGCTTTGCCTCACCATCTTTGTAACACGAGCTAACACACATGCACACACATGCAGGAAGACAGGCGTGTACATACATGCACACATGTGCGTGCACATGTATGCGTGCACACAACCTATCAGAGTATCTTACACATAGTACTCCATCATTATATCTTTGAGGGAGGGAGGGAGGAAGGGGGAAACGCGGCAAGGGGAAGGCAAGGAGGGAAGCTGTAATCCTGAACTAGCAGATGAAAAGTCCAAGTCCTCCTTCTGGTTCTGCTCCAAAAAAAGGTATTAACTTTAAATCATTCCTTATCTCATATGGGTCTTCATTTCCTTCTCCACGAAATGAAGAATTTGGGCTAGAACCGCATTTCTTAAGATGTGTTTCAGGGACCATTAGTCTCTAGCACTATTGAGTAGTGGGGAAAAAAAAAAAAGAATATCTCAATATACTCTATACCATTCCTGTTAATACAATCCTCAATTGCATAGGGACCCTTCTGACGAATCCCTCATTAAAAAAACTTGTTTAACTCTATTTCACATGGTGTTTCCCAAACTTATTTTATTCTGTCAGTTATTTCTTGAACATCTGCTATGAGTAAGTCACTATTCTAGGTTCTGAGGATACGTGGTGTGAAAGATCAAGCCCCTGTCCTCATACAGAAGAACAGAAGGGTCAAGAGTTGTGTTTCCTAAACTTCTAAGTGTCACCCCCCCCATCCTTGCCACATCTGCATGCTACCAGAAATATTCTGTACTCAACATTTTTCTTCAAATGTGCTCACTTCAATACATTTATTTTATTTTATTTTTTCAATTTATTTATTTTTATTTATTTTTGGCTGTGTTGGGTCTTCGTTGCTGTGTGAGGGCTTTCTCTAGTTGTGGTGAGCGGGGGCTACTCTGTAATCGTGGTGTGCGGGCTTCTCATTGTCGTGGCTTCTCTTATTGCGGAGCGTGGGCTCTAGGCGCATGGGCTTCGGTCGTTGTGGCACGTGGACTCAGTAGTTGTGGCTCATAGGCTCTAGAGCGCAGGCTCAGTAGTTGTGGTGCAAGGGCTTAGTTGCTCCGCGGCATGTGGGATCTTCCCGGACCGGGGCACGAACCCGTGTCCCCTGCATCGGCAGGCGGACTCTCAAACACTCCACCACCAGGGAAGCCCCGACATTTTTTTTAAATGCTGGAAAAGAGGTCCCCAGGGAATTCCGTGGCGGTCCAGTGGTTAGGACTCTGCGGTTCCACCGCAGGGGACATGGGTTCAATCCCTGGTCGGGGAAGTAAGATCCCACAATCCGCCTGGTGCGGCCATAAAAAAAAGAATTAAAAAAAAGTCCCCAAACATGCTTAAGACATATAAATGGGGGCAGAATTCTGCCAAAAGTACATATACAGACACAATCAGGGCCGAGAGATAGTTAATTCCATATCACTGTTTTGAACAAAGTAAAGAATGCAACCCCTGCTTTTTTTTTTTTTTAATAAATTTATTTATTTTTGGCTGCATTGGGTCTTTGTTGCAGTGCGCAGGCTTCTCATTGTGGTGGCTTCTCTTGTTGCAGAGCACGGGCTCTAGGTGTGCGGGCTTCAGTAGTTGTGGCACGCGGGCTCAGTAGTTGTGGCTCGCGGGATCTAGAGCGCAGGTTCAGTAGTTGTGGCGCAAGGGCTCAGTTGCTGCGTGGCATGTGGGATCATCCCGGACCAGGGCTCGAACCAGTGTCCCCTGCATTGGCAGGTGGATTCTTAACCACTGCGTCACTGGGGAAGCCCTGGTTCCACTTGTTTAAATTTAAATTAAAATTTTAGAAAAGGAGGCTATTGAACCAGGTGACCCATTCTCTACGTCTACTTAATGGACTTCAAAATTGAGAAAAACTCGGAGGAAGGTGTCAAATGAACTCTTTATTTGGAGGACCTTTGAGTTACTGAAGTGTCCTGCTAGCAGGCAGAAGTAAGGAGGAATATATCTTTCCAGTTTCCCAGCACAGATCAGGGTCAGGAGGTGAGGGATGGAATCTAAACAGAGGGAACCTCCCTGAGCAGCCCAGGGCAGAGCCACGCAGAGGCAGGGGGCTCCCAGGAATGGCTTTGCGGGACCGGCTGAGCCGAGGATTTGGAAGAACCCATCCTCTCTCTCTGCATGATGTCATTTCGAGGGGGATTAATTCCCTGGGGGATCAGCTTGCTCTAAACCTTGATAATCCAGATTTGTGATTTAATTCAGTGGCCTGAGTATCTGACACAAGGAGAAGGAAGTAGGAGGCTAGAGAGGTAAAAACAGACTGTGCTACCAAGAAAACAGGGGGGGGGGGGGGGGGGGCGGTAATCTCACTTGGATGCCTCTTTAATTAACCAGTTCCCTGCCCAGTCTTATCAAGAACGCTGTTTCTAGCCTCACGATTGACATGCCTCCTTCTACTGAGAGAAAGAAACTGAGGAGATTTGAAGCAGTTGAAGCAAGAAGGGGGAATGGTAGACTCTGTGCTGAACTCTTTGAGTCTAACAGGGGAAAAGACGACTTTAACCCAGAGGAACTGCGGGAAGAGACTCTGGCAGTTTATAGGGATTTAGGATGACGTGAAGTCCAAAGATGTCATTAGTCTTTGGAATTTGGGGAGCGGCAACTAGACTGTTCTGTTCACATTTCCACACGCAGACTCTTCCGTCTTAAACCAGTTCCAGAGATGTAACTCCTACCCCATCTAACCCCTACGATAGCCAAAGCTATCGTTTCTAGTCTAACCTCAATCCATAGCGCTGCAATGCCAGTCTCCCACCCTCTCTCCTTTGAGGGCCCATGGGGATGTGGTCCTCCGCTAGGGCTTGATCCACGTTGACCAGGTGGAGAGTGACGTGGGATTCCAGAACCTCCTCAACGAGACATCATCTTCACAAACTCTGCAAAACCAAAATTTCTGGTGAGGCACCCCTTTGTTGGTTTTTTTTTTTCTTCATTTGCTTTTTAAAATAATTTTTTTATTGGAGTATAGTTGATTTACAATGTTGTGTTAGTTTCAGGTGTACAGCAAAGTGATTCAGTTATACATACAGATATATTCATTCTTTCTCAGATTGTTTTCCCTTTAGATTACTACAGAACATTGAGTAGAGTTCCCTGTGCTATGCAGTAGGTCCTTGTTGTTTATCTCTTTTATATATAGTAGTGTGTGTGTATGTTAATCCCAAGCTCCTGATTTATCCCTCCCCGCTCAGTGAGGTACCTATTTGTAAGAGTACCTGCCATTATTTTTTCCAGCCTTTACTATGTGTCAGGAACCACTGGTGATCTTTGGGAAATTAATAACCTGACCCCTCTATGCCTTGATTTCTTCATCTACAAAATGGGAATCATAGGATTGCTATTTACCTTCTATGATTTTTAAGATGGTTAAACAACAGAATGCTTAGAAGACACAGTCGGTGTTCAATAAATTGTCATTATGAGTCTCTGATTTCAACTTTTCAACCGATCTTGGAGGGGTAAGTACCGTTTCACAGATAAGCAAACCGAGGCTGGTGAGGTTGACCAACATGGCTGAGATCACGTGGATGGTGAATGGAGAACCCTGGAATGAACCCATGACTTTGCTAGGACTCAAAGTCAGGTGGACTTACTTATTGGTCCCACCCAGGTCTCGAGGCCCCTCTGTCCTTCCCTTGCCTGTGATTGGCCGGAGGAACTATTTCCTGAAACCATTGTACCTCTCCCAGATTTTCATTGATGCCTGCTCTGCACCTGAGCCTGGCTAGATCCAGCAGGCATCCATGCAACAAACGTCTACTAAGTTTCTATGCTGGGAATGTCACAGCAGAGATGGGTTAGAGAAGCTCCCTCTGCCCCACAGAAATTCACAACCCAGGAGGCAAATGTAACTCAAGGTCTGCAGTCATAACTTCCTTTGGAGAGGAAGAGAAAAATCCCTGTAAGTCTTCACAGCTAGGACTACTACACCACATAAGGATGAAGGGAAGCATCTTAGCAGAGGTTGCACTGGCATGAACTCCTGAGAGATGGATAGGATTTGAAAATGCATTGATAACACGGGAAAGGTGTGGTAAGTGGAAGGAACATCAGGGAGAAAGGAACAGAAGTTGGAGAACACAGAGCAGTACCAAGTGTACATCAGAGCATAAAAATTCAGAGAGTGGTTGTAGAAGATAGAGGCTGGGTGGGTGGGTAACTGGGGCAGCATCATGGATGCACTTGAATATCAGACTAAGAATTTGAACCAGAGAATGTCACGATGGGAACTTGACGTGCCCTATTGATGTCTCCCACAAAAATGATCCCCCCCCATCCGCTCAAGACTCCAATATTTCTCATTTATCCAATCACTCAAAACACATGTGCTGAGCTCTCTGCTAGGAATTGGGGTATAATGATGAAAGATTTAGTCTGTGGCCTCAGAAGGAAACAGGCAATCAACGATTGGAAGCTATTGTGATGTCACGTGCCAGTATCACTGCAGAGGCATGCGTGGGTGTTACCGGAGCACCGAGGGATCCCGAGCCTGGAAAGAAAGATGGGGCCCCAACCAGGGGCATAACTAAGACTTAGCCAGAGGAAAGAGGAAAGGGTTTTACAGACAGGACATGAGCAATGACAGCAAGGGGTCCTTAGTGCATGATTTCTTTTAGTTTTTCTCTAAAACTGGGGAGAAAGGTAGCATCTTTACTCCCATTTTGCGGATGTGAAAACTGACACTAAAAGAGAGGAAGCGACTAGGATAAGGACACATAGTTAGTAAGAGGTGATCCTGAATTTGAAACCCATGAATCTGACCCCAGCATCCCAGAGGCTAATCTCCTTCTGATGGGACATTTTTTTCCTATGATAAAGGCATCCAGGGAACAAAGAAGGGATGGGAGAGGTGGAGTAGGAATGGGCTTCTGGACAGGATGTTCCAAGGAGTGGCCAAGACAGAAACAAGGAGAGGTGAGAGGCACTGAGCTCTTGGAAATGACATGGGCAGAAAGGGATGAAACAAACACCTCCAAAATCTAACCCACCTCCTCCAACCTCAAACTGGGGGAAGAGTGAGAAAGGAATGGCCGACTTTCAAAAAAATCACACTGGGGAGATGGAGGTGGCTACCCCTATACAACATCACCTTCAAAGTCGACGGTGCCGTCTCCGTTAATGTCGGCTTCCTGGACAACCTCGGAGATCTCCTGGGGAGTGAGCTTGTCTCCCAGGAGCCTCTGCATGGCCTGCTGCAGCTCTCCCAGGGTGATCTCCCCGTCTCCATTGGCATCAAACTGAATTGGAGCACAGGGGATAATATTAGCAACAATGACCACAATAATAATAATAATAGCACTGTTTATTAATCACTTACTGTGAGTCAAGAACTCAGCTAAAGATAACCAACAAGGACCTACTGTATAGCACAGGGAACTATACTCAGTATCTTGTAATGACCTATAATGGAAGGGAATGAAAAAAAAAAGAATATATACATTTATATATTAAAACAAGAATATATACATTTATATATATATAAAACTGAATATATAGTTTTATATATATATAAATATATATATATAAATATATATATATATATATAAAAAACTGAATCACTTTACTGTATACCTGAAACTAACACGACATTGTAAATCATTGTAAATTTCACCGCTGTGGCCCTGGGTCCAATCCTGGTTGGGGAACTACAATCCCACAAGCCACGTGCTGTGGCCAAAACAAACAAACAAAACTCAGCTGAGAGCTTTTGCACGTTATCCTCTAAAAGCTCCTTGAAGGCAGGTTCAAGGAGTCTCGTTCCTTGCTCCATGCTTAGCCCTCTCTATGCTGCACACCTTTAACTAATCCACTAGAAAGTCTTAGAACATAAGTTCTATGTCCAAACGTATCTGGGAGCCAACTGCCCTTCTCCAGCTACATCGATGCTAACTAACCTGGTTCAAACCACGATCACCTTGTGCCTGATTATGGCGACAGCCTCCTACTTGGTCTTCCAGCTCCCACTGTGGTCCTACATAATCTGTCCTCCACACGTTGGGACTTGGCATTCGTGTTCATTTAAAACACCAATCAGATCTTGTCCCTCCCTGGCTTAAAGTCCTCCGGTGGCTTCCTATCCCACTCAGAAGAAACTCCTGACACCGCTCCGTGACTCGCAAACTGCTATGGGATGGGGTCCTGCCTTTAGCAACTCCTGTTTATTTCATGCTACTCTCTCTGGCTCATGCCTCTCCAAGTACTCCGGGCTTCTTGCTCTTCCTCAGACATGCCTTCCTGCCTTTCAGTGTTTGTACCTGCTGCTTTCTAATCCTGGGGTGTGATTTCCCCTAGAGCAGTGCATTGCCCGAAGGAAATACAATGTGAACCTCATGGGTAATTAAAATTTTTCTAACAGCCTCCTACCGCCACATACACAAATTTTAAGGGAACAAGTGAAATTAATTTTTTATAATTGATTTTACTTAATCTATCTAATATATCATTAAAAAAATTTTAAATGTAAGCAATTTAAAAATTGATTTAACCATGTAATCAATTTAAAAATTATTAATGAACTATGTTATATTCTTTTTTTTTCTGAGATCAAACCATTTTATTTACCCAGCGTCCTTCTCCTGGCTGGGATCTCTCCAGCTTCACAGTCACTGAAAAGCTGTTATATTCTTTTTATGTGTACTGGATTTCATAAGACTTAGTATAATACCATGCTAAGGACTTACTTAGTATGTCCTTAGCATGGTTAGTTAACACACCTACCCTCCAAAGATACTTAAACTAAGCTACTAAATCTTAATCCAGCGTGTATTTTATACTCACAGCACGTCTCAATTCAGACACTAAATGTTATCAGAAATAATAGAATATAACAGAAATAACATCAGAAACCTGCATGTAGGTTTCATGAAGTATATAGTTGAAAAGGTAGATTTGCATACCCAAGTTGTTCCAAATGAAAGTTTTCCGATAATTGCATTGAGTATTCATTTTTAGATTCAAGTGAATTGAAATTATATTCAATTGAATACAAATGGAAATTAATTTAATTGAAACTAATCAAAGTTAAATACAATTATGTGTATACAATGGAATATTACTCAGCCATAAAAACGAATGAAATAATGCCATTTGCAGCAACATGGATGGACCTAGAGATTATCATACTAAGTGAAGTAAGTCAGAAAGAGAAAGACAAATATCATATGATATCACTTATATGTGGAATCTAAAATACGACACAAATGAACATATCTATGAAACAAAAACAGACTCGAAGACACAGAGAACAGACTTGTGGTTGCCAAGGGGGAGGGGGTGGGGGAGGGAAGGATTGGGAGTTTGGGATTAGCAGGTGCAAACTGTTATATAAAGGATGGATAAACAAGGTCCTACTGTATAGCACGGGGAACAATATTCAATATTCTGTGATAAACCATAATGGAAAAGAATAGGAAAAGGAATGTCTATATATGTATAACTGAATCATTGTGCTGTACAGCAGAAATTAACACAACATTGTAAATCGACTATACTTCAATAAAATTTTTAAAAATTAAATACAATTAAAAATTCAGTTCCTCAGTCACACAAGCCACATTTCAGGCCAGCGGCTACCACTGTGGACAGAGCATTTTCATAATCACAGGAAGTTCTATTGGACGATGCAGCTCTAGATCTTTACATGAAGCTGAGACAGAAAACCACACAGCTAGTAGGCAGAGATCTTCCTGGGATTTGGACCCATGTTTGCCTGACTCCAGGGTGTCCCCTTCCCAACACTATACTCTTCTTTATTTTTGCCTCACATAGTTGAAAGCTGTCTGAGAGAGAAGAGCATTTTATCAATGAATCTAAGTGAATTTCAGCAAGCCCCTTACCCTCCCTGGATCTCATCTTTTTAAAGCATCCCTACAACAAGTAGTTTCAACCAGACGATGTCTTGCAGCTTCTTTCTGGGATCTCAAATTCTTGGATTCCCTCTTCCTATCACAGGCATGAGGATTAGAGGTTCTAGCATGTGTTTTGTAGATTGCAGGATCTTGGATAAGGCACGCAATTTCCATGAGCCTCAGTTTCCTCATATGTAGTATTGGGATACATGACTACTTACTCCTAATGTTACTTGTGAGGACAAAATTAGATGAAATAGGTAGAGGACCTTGTCCATTGCAGGTGCTTGAAATATGTTATTTTCCTTCCCTATAAATCCCACCATAGTTAGAAAAAATAACTGGTTTTGGTGGGTTTTGTCCGTGGTTAATGGCTAATCATAGACCTCTTGGGTCTCCCTCAACCACCTCCAACATTATGAAACTTACTTCCTTGAAAGCATCTCGCATCTCCTGGACACCAATCATCCCAGCTGTTTCTGCAAGCAATTTGGGGGCCATCAGCTCCACAAAATCGTCAAAATCTACACGGCCACCCACTGAGGACAGAAGAGGCAGGTCTAGTGAGATTCCATATACCCCCAACCCTCCATTACCTCACTTTGCCCTTCAACTCTGTTCAAGAAATAGATCTGCTCCGATCTCTCTGCCTTCTAAGAGCTTCCTTTCTTAGCCAGCTCATGCCCTCTTGTCCCTCTCATCTGAACAGGAGTGGATGGGGTGCCGTACGGTGGAAGTAACTGACTGTTGGTGTAACCTTGAGAAAATCTCTTAATTGGTTCAGATGTAGGTTCCCTCATCCGCAGATCTGGAGAAGGGAGAGTATGAATTAAATGAGCACTAAATCCCTTCCAGATATGAATACTATCACCTCCTTGAATTTAGCATTGTTTACCCAGTAACATGCCCAGAAGCAAACCCCGTAGCAATTTTATCCCAGCTTCGGTGACAAAATCAGCTTGTCTCTATCTAAAAACCCATCTTTTTTGTCACATTATTCACCAACATTAGGCTCCAACTCCAAGTTTGTTACCAGCATCAAATACAGCTCCAATGTTGCCCTCCACTGACGAATCTTAGTGGTGATAGTAATAACTTACATTTAATAAGCATTTACTAGAGGCTAAGTCTTTACCTGTATTAACATCTTTATCCCTTCCTTTCTACAATCCCACAAGGTAAGGAGTGATATCATCTTCACTGGGTGGATGGGGAAACTGAGACTCAAGAGTGGGGGTTAACTCCACTTCTTATATGACTACAATTAGTTAATAACAGAACTGGGACTTGAACCCAAATCTATCCCTAAAAGTCACGCTTTTAACCACTTCAAATGTTGCCTCCCTAAGTAGAGTCTGAACTGTTTCCTTCCAGACTTCTAGGCCCTCTTCCCTCCTCCCTATCTCCAACTCTACTCTCAACCTCCATATATCCTTCCCAATTCCACCCTTAGCCCTCCCCTAAACCCAGTCATTCCTCCCACCCCCTGGCCTCACAGTTCATGCGGATTTGCTGGCCCAGTTCAATCAGTTCCATCTCCGTGGGCATGTAACCCATTGTCCTCATGAGATTCCCCAAATCCTTACAAGAGATGAACCCATCTCGGTCCTTGTCAAACTCAAGAAATGCTTCCCGGAGCTCTGAAAGTTAAGAGAGAAGAACTTTGGGGAAGTTGAAACAGTCACTGGGGAAGAGTAGCATTGCTTGAAACTATCAATGAGGCACTGACTAAAGACTCCTCAAAAAAGAATACATTATAAAAATTTTTTAAAGGAGTGATGTATGAAATGTGTTAGCAAAAAGAATAGTTCCTGAGACCACTAAACGACAGCAGTGAAGTCCTTCACATTTTTGGGTGAAGTTATGGGAAACTTTGAAACTACCAAGAGAAAAAAACAACAAGTTTGGACTCATCCTAAAACTCAGGCATCATTTGTGGGTCTCTGAGACACTTGGGCATGGGGATGGTTTCTAAACACTTGGGGAAGTACTTAAACTGCCACAAAATCACAGTTGAGTGGGAAGAGAGTGTGATGTAAAATTTTCATGTCAAGGGGTTTATATTGAAATGCACAAAGGAACACAGAGCAGGCAAGTGGGTGGATGGCAAAGTGGGGGCATTTAGGGGAGAGAGCTTTACCTTCAATCTCATCTGGTCCCAGTGGTCTTTCCTAGAAAGGAATGCAGGGGGCAGGGGATTTGGAGAGAGGATCAGGGATCCACATTCACTTCTTGAAACACATCTCACCCTCATCCTTTCCTGTTTCTCTTCCCTTCTTGCTCCCGTCTACCCCTCTCACCTTCTTTCTCCCATCTCCTGACTCCCATTCCACGGCTATTTCTTCCTCCTGTTTTTCCTCACCCCTTCTCACTTCCTCTCTCCCATCCTTGAATCTTGGTCTCTCTCCTCCTGCCTTTCCCAAATAGACATCCATCCTGCTGTGCCGAAATGGGTCCTGGAGGCCACGGAATCCAATCCCCTTCTTCTCCAGATGAAGAAAGCCAGACTTAGAATCACAGCTCACATATTCAGTTTGCTGACTGTGCCAGGCTTCCACAATCATTTCATTTAAACTTCTTTGAGGTAGAGCCAAATATCATGCCCATCTTATTTAAGAGGAAGTCGAGGGACAGAGAGGTTAAGGAGACTGCCTGAGGTCACACAGCTCATAAGTGGCAGATCCCCTCCCAAAGTGGGGAGACGTTAAATCATTCCTTTGAGGTCATGCAGAAATTCAGGTGCGTTGAGAGCTGGGATTTGAATGCAGGTCTACTGGCTGCCAGGTCAGAATTCTTTCTACTACACCCCACTGGCTGTTTTTCCACCTGCCTCCATGGTTAGAATCCCTTGGCTGCGGGAGCTGTGTTCAGTGGCACCCAGGCACGATGATCACTGCCAGCATGACCAATTCCTAAAACCTTTCCTGTTGCCACCACCCACCCACTGGACATAACTGAAGGGTCAGGCTTGGGTACCTGGCACACCACCTGGAAAATTCCATCAACCCCTGGCCTCTGTCACCCCTTTTTTCCCTTTATCTTTGGAGATTTTCCCCCGGCTTCTCTTTCTTACTATCCCCTTCTCCCCAAATCTCTCTTAATCTTTCTCTCTCTCTCATGATCTTAAAAACTAACAATTAAAATCATGCCCGTTGGGGCTTCCCTGGTGGCGCAGTGGTTGGGAGTCCGCCTGCCGATGCAGGGGACGCGGGTTCGTGCCCTGGTCCGGGAGGATCCCACGTGCCGCGGAGCGGCTGGGCCCGTGAGCCATGGCCGCTGAGCCTGCGCGTCTGGAGCCTGTGCTCCGCAAAGGGAGAGGCCAAAACAGTGAGAGCCTCGCGTACCGCATAAAAAAAAAAAAAAAAAAAAAAATCATGCCCGTTGGAATCCAACAGACATGACTCTGCCACTTACTAATTGTATAAGCTTAAAGCAAGGGACTTCATGACTTAGAGCCTTAGTATCCAGTCTGTAAAATAGGGATGAAAGTATTATGAACCTCATGAGTCATTCTGAGGATTAAGTGACATCAGGACTGCAAAGCCCTATGCACAAGTCTTAGCTCACAGCGATGACTTAGTAAGTGGCATCTGGGCTTCCCTGGTGGCGCAGGGTTGAGAATCTGCCTGCTAATGCAGGGGACATGGGCTCGAGCCCTGGTCTGGGAGGATCCCACATGCCGCGGAGCAACTAGGTCCGTGAGCCACAACTACTGAGCCTGCGCGTCTGGAGCCTGTGCTCCGCAACAAGAGAGGCCACCATAGTGAGAGGCCCGCGCACCGCGATGAAGAGTGGCCCCCGCTTGCCACAACTAGAGAAAGCCCTCGCACGGAAACGAAGACCCAACACAGCCAAAAATAAATAAATTAATAAACTCCTACCCCCAACATCTTCTTTAAAAAAAAAAAAAAAAGTGGCATCTATTGTTATCAGCACCTCCAGCATCATCACCACCTTCATCACTATGGGAGTCAAAGAAAAGAATGATAATGATCATCAACAATGACATCATCCTAGTTCCCCTTTCCTTTTTCTTTTTCTTCTCCTTCATCTTCCACCTTTTCGTCCTGACTTCTGATTTCACCCTCACCCATCTTACTGACCCACGTGTCCCCATGATGCTCCCTGGAATTCTTCTACCTTCTCAGTTCATGCTCTCTCCACCTGCTCCCCTATTGTCCCTTCTCTTCCCCGCATCCCAACTCCCTTTGCCCTGCCCACCATCCTCCCTCACTGTCCCCTGACTCACCCGCTGTTTCTCAGCGATGCCTTTTCTTAAGAAGATGCAGGCGGGGCCCATGGGAAACTGCATGGAGGGTGCAGGGCAGAGCTCACCAGGCGCCAATCTCAAGACAGCTCCCCCCCTTCCTGTCCCCCGTGGCGGCTCAGCCTCCTTTCCTTCTCTACCACTCCTTTGCCAACTCTTCCTGCCTCTCTTGGCCTCTCCCTCGGTCACCTTGGCTCCCTTAGAGCTGTGTGACAGCTGGGTCAGAAATCCCTACTCGGGTTGGGGAGGGATCCCAGTTGTTCCTGCCTCCCCATCTGGCTTGAGAATGGAGGCGGAGACAGTGTCGGGCTCTGACCTTTTATCCCCAGAATAGAACTGGAAGGATAGTTTTGAAAATGAGGATTAGAGCAGAGGGCATCAATTCATACAATGTTTCAACAGGCACGTTGAGTGATCAGTCTAAGCCTGGCCTCTGCTGGCCTTCATGTGTGTGAAGATGGAGAGGACATCTGGCCTCCAGGAGCTCTAGGGTAAGCCAGGAATGTGTGTAAACGAGCGACGACCTGACTTCAGGAATAGACATGCACAGTGGCTCAGAGGGGGATATTTGCCCTTCCTCTTGCTCCTCTCTTCCCTTCCTTTCTTCCTGCATAGTTCAGGGGGGAGGGGCAAGGTAGCCATCCATGCCTTGGGCTCTGTCACACCGCCCAGCACAGACGTGGCACATTTCCATCACTGCAGAGTTCTACTGCAAGGCCCCGGTTTCGACAGTTGTGACACACTGTTACACGCTATCAAAGGGTGAGCTGTTATGGCTGAACCCCCAGAGCCCAGCACGGACACAGAGCAGGTGTTCAACAATTATTTATTGAAAAGAATGACAGAACCCCAAACCCCAGCTGAAACCATCCCCTCCCACACACACACCTGACTATCAAAACCCGCACCCGGCAACACCAGATTGCTGAGCACCTGAGGCGACGCCCCTGGGCCCCCTCCGCCCCCAGCCCCCGGGGAGAGCAGGGGGCCTAGTAGAAATCTTCCAGGTCGGAGTCTGGCTCTGCGCCTTGCTGGTTCTGAATCTGACTTTGCTTCCGGTACAGACAGGCCACCTGAAGTGAGAGGGTGGGTGGTGGGAGGGTCAGAAGCCCTGGGGCTGCCCCACCCCCTTCCATGCCAAGCCAGGCCAGAGCCCACCTTCTCCAAAAAGCAGGCCTGGCCGGGCAAGCCCACCCCTGGGCCAACCACCCACCCTCTACCGCGGGCCTCACCTGGGCACTGGTGGTGGCCTCCTCCGGCTTCTTGTCCTCACGGACGCAGATAAACCGAGGGAAGCGGAGGGAGATTCCCTTCTCGCTATCCACCTGTGGAGGCGAGGTGCGGTGGGTGGAGTGGTGATGGGAGCAGCAGTCCAGCCTGCTCCCCAGGCAGCAATTCCCCATCCAAAGTCTCCTCCCCACTCCTGCGCCTCTGGCCTGTTTCCTGATCCATACAATGGGGCTAAGCGATGGGTCGTTGTAAAAATTAAATATGGTCATTTAGTGCTTGGGGCCGCTCCCCGGAGCAGGAGCAGGAGCGTGTAAGAAACACAGGCAGCTGTGGCTGTGCTTTATGCTGTTGTTATTATTATTAGGGCCAAGAGGGGTGGATTCTAGAACCAGACTGTGAGGTTCAAATCCCAGCTCCCGACTCTCGAGAGCCTCGTGACCCTGGGCCAGTTACGCTCCCTGGGGCTCTATTTTCCCATCTGTAAAATGGGATGGTCAGTGTCTTGGTGAGGATGAGTGTGAACAAGTGACATGCCTGCTTCACCTAAATGCTCGATAAATGCTGTTCCCATCTCTTTATTACCAGGGGCCCCCGACTTCCCGAGACGGTGCAGGAGTGAGAAATTTCAAGAAGGAAACTAGATAAAAAGTATGAGCTTTGCCTTTACATGGAAGTCAGCTGCTAAGCAGAAAAGCACAAGCTAGCTTTTGAAGGATCAGAAAAAATCCCAAAGGGAGTATGCACTTTAAGATTTCCTGTTCCTCGGTCAACTCTATTTTAATTAAAAACAAAAAACAAAAAACCTCCAAATTGATGTTTCTAAGAATCCACAAAGAGAAAACAATATAATTTGCATTTTAACAATGTTATTAAGATTTGGGATATCTGTGGATTTTAGGGTTGAACACCTTGGTTGACAATAAGCTAAATTTTTATGCTAATAAAAGACATATCTGCAACAGTAAAAAAAAAAAAAAAAAATTCCTGATCTTCGGAAGGAGGATGCTAAGAGCTCTCCTAGTGATGGTGGGGGAGTGTTTCCCCGGGGACACTGATCCTCTAGCAGATGCGGAGGACAGAACCACCACGAGAGAAATTAGCCAAGGAATGTTAGAACTCGGTAGCGTGAAAACTGACTACAGTTGAGAAAGAAATGCAGTAGTGGACCTAAATGCTCAGCAGGAAGTATCCTAAATTTTTACTGAAAAGAACTGTTTTCAAAAATTACTTAAGAGCAGAATGTGAGATTATGATATTTAAGAAAGAGATTAAAAAAAATGATACCGATGAACTTATATACAAAACAGAAATAGACCCACAGACACAGAAAACAAACTTATGGTTTACCAAAGGGGGAAGGAGGGGTGAGGGATAAATTAGGAGTTTGGGATTAACGGATATACACTACTATATATAAAGTAGATAAACAATAAGAACGTACTATATAGCACAGAGAACTACTCAATATTTTGCAGTAACAAAGGGAAAAGAATCTGAAAAAGAATATATATATATAACTGAATTACTTTGCTGTACACCCTGAAACTAACACAACATGGTAAATCAACTATACTCCAATAAGAACATAAAATTAAAAAAATAAAAATAAAAAAAATTTTTAAATCAAAGAAAGCAATTTCACAGTTTTCTTTCTACTCCTGGGGAATTTCTTTTTTTTAATTTTTTAATAAGAGTTTGACCTCATTATCTGAAACCCAAATACAACGCAAGCTCCAGTCTTCCTAAGCATCACCCAGGAAGCTCAGACATGGGCTCCAAGATCCCCTCCCCCCGTTTCCCCACCCTCCCAGCTGGTTCCTTCGGAGGGTCTATTCCAGGGTCCCCCAGTTTACTCACCAGGCCCCGGGCAGCCGGGTAGATGGGGGAGAGGGAGAGGTCTGCGCACTTCACCTCCCACACGGCGCTGGGGTCCAGCCAGTGGTCAGGGGCCACGGCGCCGTCGGCCCGGACATAGGAGCGTGGAGCGGGCAGCACCAGGGCCTGCAGCCAGTGGCGGGAATAAGGGAGAGAGGGTCTTGGATCTCAAAGTCAAGGCTGAGGGGAGGGTTGCAGGGGCAGGACTGGAGAGTGAGGAAAGAGGGAGGAAGATGGAGGAAGGGGATAGATACAGATGCCCCTCCAAGTAAAAAGCTGGTGGTAGGTGGAGCTGGGGGGTGATGGGGGAAACGGGAGAAAGGAAGAAACGACAGAGACCCTGGGAGCTGAGACAAGAAATTAAAGGCAGAGAGAGTCAGAGAGAGGAACCAAGACCCAGAGACGGGGAGTCAGAGACCTAGAGGGGAGGGGGGACCAAGAATGGGACAGACAGGACCAGAGACACCAACACACAGGAAAGCCAGAGCACCCCCCAAATGCCTGGGACCAGGACAGCAAACACCGCGACGACTAGGGGCTCCACTGGCATACTAAGGGTGAACTCGGGGAACGAGCAACACGCCCTCCCTGAGCCTGTCTCGGGCGCGGCCGAGGCACTGAGCCCGGGGAGACGACGCTCCCTGACCGGAGGCTCTGGCCGGTAGCTGGCAGGGCTGGGACGGGAACTTGGACGTGCTGCACTACTCGGAAGCCAGCTCCGCAGTGCCAGCTCCGCAGTGCCGGGCCCGCGTCCCGAGCCTCCCGGAGGGCGAGAGCCCCAGGCACACACGGGGGTGGGGGCGGGGGGGCTCACCTGGAGGGTCTGGTGATGCTCCTCTAGCTCCTCGTCGCTGAAGCCCGTTCCGAGCTGCCAGGAGGATAGGGGAGTCAGAGGCTCCACGTGCTCCCAGCGCCCGGCCCCCGAGGCTGAGTCACACCCACTCCCTTCCCGCTTCTGCGGCCCCCCAGCTCCCGGCACCTTGCATATGGCCTGCAGTTCCTCGCTCTCCTCGTCGTAGGCGGCCAGCAGGAAGCCCCCGTACCGGCCGGCCCGCTTTCCCCGGCCCAGGTAGGCGCCGATCACCACGAGGTCCAGGGTGTCGCCCACGCCATCCAGGTAGTCCTTCTTCAGCTGGGAGGAGGGAAGGTGGGGGGTGAGGGTGGGACGCTCGGGTGTGGCTCCCACCGCTGGAGCTTAAGCAGAGGCGCGAGGAGGGGCTGGGTGAGAAGACCCATGACAGTCACCGAGAGGAGACTGGACGCGGAACAGGTTTCTAGGCTGCAAGGGCTGATGAGAAAGAGGGGACTCAAATGCGAAGGAGGCAGGATCGAGGGGACAGGTCAGGTGGGGAGACCCCAGGGGTCACCCCGGAACCCCCCTCCGTTCGACATGGAGGCGCATTCCACTCCTTCACACAGAGAACATTTATCCATTCATTCCAAAGACATCAATTAAGTGCCAACTGTGTGCCAGGCAGGAGCCCAGCCGTGGGGATGCAACAGCGAGTATTTCTTGACACTGGCAAGGTTTGTACCTGCACAGCCGCTTACAGCTTAGTGGGGGCGGGACAGACCATAAACAGCTAAAAAACACACAGGGAGGGATTTCCCTGGTGGTCCAGGGTAAGACTCCGCGCTCCCAATGCAGGGGGCCCAGGTTCGATTCCCGGTCAGGGAACTAGATCCCGCAGGCAGGCCGCAACGAAGATCCCATGTGCCGCAACTAAGACCTGAGCAGCCAAAATAAGTAAATATTTAAAAAAACAAACAAACAAAAAAACACACACAGGGAAACCCTGTCCACAGGCTCCGCCAGCTCACCGCCCGGCTATCTCCCGCTTGGGTCTCCTGGCCCCCTCCTCACTGCTGCCTCTCTGCTCAAGCTCCCATCACCTCTTACCGGACAGCTGCCTTCCGCCTGCCTGCTCCCACTTCTGCCCAGCACCCCCACACCCGTCCACCACCCACGGAGCGGCCGGAGGACTTGTGCCAAACGACAGTCAGACCAGGTGACTCCCCCTTAAAACCTCCACTGGCTTCCTGAAACCCCTGGAGGAAAACCCAGTTTTACCACCCAGTGCTGGGTGATCTGGGACCCACTCTCTGCCCTGACCTCACCTCACGCCTCGATGGTCCGCGACCCCTGCACACACCAAGCTTGTCCTACCCCAGGGCCTCTGCACTTGCTGCCCGCGCCCAACCCCCACCTACATGCTCCACCCCTGATCTTCACATGACCGACCACTTCCTATCATCCATGTCTCGACCCAAACACTGCCTCTGGAAAGGCTTTCCCCAATCACCCGAAGTACTGCAGACCCTCCCTGGCCCCAAGTGGACTTGCTTTCTTCATAGCACTCATCACTCTCCGACTTTACCCCGTTTGCATCCTGGCTGACTTCCTCGCGGAAGGCAAGCTCAGAGGGAACAGAAAGCTCCTTGGGCTCCCTCACCCCCACATCTGGGGTGCCTAGCCGGGCGGTTCTCCACCAGTCCTTGGTGAATTTGCTCGTGCCGACTCACTAGGGGAGCAGAGCCGAGGCTGGCTGCAGTGAGAGGCAGGAGGGACTGAGCAAAGGGCTCTGGGGCTCAAATGGGGTGGATGTGGGGACTGGGCATGGACCACCCAGCAGGGGCAGGCTTCCGGTCCCCAGCTCAGCAACAAAGGGGGGCGGGGGCAGGCGGCACCTTGAGCCAGTTGTGCGACCTCTTGGCGATCTCGTAGGTGGCGTCCACATCCAGGGTCTTCACCATCAGCCCCTCGCAGGAGTCTGGGGGACACATGAGAGCCGTGTGAAGCCCCGGCTCACAGCCTCACAACAGACGCAGGCAGGGTTCTGGTCCAGTCGTCCAGGGTGGGGCTGGGATGGGTGCAGATCTTGGGGGGTGGGCGGAAGGGGCGCAGACCTTGGCGGATGCCCTCACCTTTCACCGACTGCTCCAAGAACTCGGCGATCTGGTCCGTGTCCTTGGTGTCCAGAGAGGTGGCAAAGACAAACTCGCCCTCCGTCTCCACGAAGTTCTCCCGGAGCAGCTGCCGGCGTCGGGAAAGGGGCTCACGTACCAGGGACTGTGGGGCAGGATGAGAGAGATGGGGCATCATCATGGAAATAAAGAGAAGAAACCCTGACCTCGGGAGAAGCAGGAAGCAGATGGGTCACATGTCATCATGTGGCTTATGGAAACGAGTGGGAAGAGGGGCATTATTTTATATTTTTGCCAATTCTCTAATGTCTGGCTTAACAGAGGCTGGATTCTCACATCTGCTTCTGCATTCGGACGGCTACAAAATGTCGTTCAGGTTGCAGGACAGGAAGAAAATACCCCTCACACAGATGCTGGGAAAGGGAGGGCCTTACAGTCCACATTTTGAGAACCACTGCCCGAGTGTGGCCTCCGGGCTCAGTGATGAAACTCTAACCGCTGGCTCCCAAGCTCTCCCCCATCACCTCAAGTCATGCCCCAGCTGACCCGGACACGATGCCAGAACTCACCTCTCCATTGAGGTAGATGAGGTCGAAGGCGTACAGACACACCTGCACCTGGATCTCTGCCGCGTCCACCTCCTGGGTCAGGGCAAGATGGAGACCAGGAGCGGGGGAAGGTGAGACGGGGCCCAGTTGGGTCCCTTCCCATTATGCCCGAGGCAGACACCCCTGTCACCTGCCATCCCCCCCTTCTCCCCAGCCAGCAGGCCGCACACCTGTGAGGGCATCAATGCTGCCAGCCACACGCACTGAATTGGGATGGCTCTTGGCTAATCCCAACCACCTCATTCACCACTGCTAGGTATTTGCTCTCCCAGCCTCCCTCGCAGCTAATGGGGGTGACATGACACAACTCTGGCCAATGAGAGTAAAGAAGATTGCTGGGGTGCAGGTTGTGGGGGCTCCTAGAACAGATCTTTCATAATAAAACAGATGTTGGAAAAGAGGCCTTCCCTCCTTCCAACTTGGCATGCTGGAATAAGAATGTGATGGCTGGAGCTGTGGCAGCCACACTGCAAAAGGCTGAGAGAACTACAACCCAACTGATAGCTGTGTCTCTCCGGGATTGCACAGGACTGGGTGGAAGATGAGGGCAGGCGGTGGAGGGGCGGGCAGAGGCTACCTTGCGTTTGCGGGTGGTGAGCACTTGGAATGGCTGGATCTGCTTCTTTTCCCGGTCCCAAGCCACAGCTTCCGCGTCCAGGATGAAGGATGTGACTGATGGGAGTTTAATCTGAAAGGTGAAGAGGGGGACCCAGGACTGGTGAGAAGTGGCGGATGAGGCCAAAAGACAGACGCAGGGAAACAAATATCTTTTTCCTTCTGCAGCTCTGAAGATCCACTGACAAACTGATGTCAACCTTAAAAAGACACATGTGAACACAGACCCCTTCTCTTGTTCCCCACTGAGAGGGGAAAAAAACCTGTTTTCTGAGGACTTACTATTTGGTCCCACAAGCTGGAAACCAAGGAGCCTTTGTCATCTTCCTCTTCCTCCCACTTCACACTCAATTACCCCGTGAACTTGTCCGATTCCGCTCTGAAACTGCTAAGCTGTCCACCTGTCACCACTTTGCTGAGCCCAGTCCAGCCTAAGCCACAGCATCCTACTGGTCTCCCCGCTCCTGCACTGACCCCATCCAATCCACTCTCCTCACAGCAGCCAGGCTGCTCTTGGCAAACCCCAAATCTGATCACTTCTCATCCCTGCTAAAAACCACCCCACAGCTCCCCAAAGCTGTGGGACCTCTCCTTGGTCAGCCCGTGGCCCTTCCTCGCCTCACCTGTCCCCCTCAGACTCACGCTCTGTACCCCAATGCACTAGCCTTTCTGTTTCTTGAATGGGCTGTGCCCCTCCAACCACCGGGCCTTTGCAAATGCTGTTTACTCTAGAATCTGCACGACTCCAGGGGCACCATTCCCACTGTACCCTGGGCTGTGCTTGGTGATGGCCTCGCTTTCCTGACACCAAGTCTAAGTCTTATTCTTTTAAAGGCTCCAATGAATGCTGGACCTTTTCTTCGGCGCCCGATCTCTGAGTGTACTCATAGAGGCAGCAGCGGGACTCTGATGAAGATCTGCCTGCCCCGCCGTCTCTGTTAAAGCCCCAGCCTCCAGCACAGGGCTCAGCACAGGGCAGTCGCCCAACAAATACTTGTTGAATGAATAAGCGAAAGAAGCCAGATACAAAAGACCCTGTACTATCACCACGTATCTGGAGCTCTAGCAGAGGCAAAAACGAACCTGTCCCAGCGAAAAAGCAGATCAGTGGCTGTTGCCTCAGGAGATGGCTGATGGGAGTGGGGACAGGGGCCTACTTGGCATGGGGCATGGGGAAACTTTCTGGAGTGACGAAAACACGGAAACGTTTTACATACTGATTATGTGGCTGTATGAACTTGTCAAAAACTCTTCAAACTCTATCAGAACATTTTACAAAGCTACACCTTAAGCTGGTTTAAAACAACAGTGCTTGGCATGTACCAGGAACTCCTTTAATGCCTGTGCCGTATACTGTTACTTCTGTCCTGCTGCTTTAGGAAAGAGCAAGTTTCCTTATTAATTAGGGAAGGCAGGAGAATGGCCCTCTGACTCCTAAAAAAGGCCCCAAACCGCCCCCTTGAGGGCAGAGACGTCCCCGGCTCCAGGGCCTTCGAGACCCAGCCCTAGTTAGGCTGTGGGGCCAGTCTGCAGGCTGCCTTCACCCTCATCCCAAACCCTCTCCCTGTCAGAGAGCAAGATTCTGGCTTCCCCAGCCTCTGCTGCACCAGAGTGGCCATGGTAACCAGTGCTGGACAAGGACCCCCATGCTGGAGTCAGCCGGGGGTGGTAGGAGGTACCCGGAAAAGCACTAACTTTGTGGGAAGGGACAGAAGCTGGAACCCCTTTCCTGACTGTCTGGAAGCGTGGTGGCTACTTGGAGACCATAGGGGACAGGCTCTGGGATGAAATGGAACCAGCCAAGGACAGTAGAGGACAGAGGACCAAGCTGGGTTTGGGAGGACCCTGGTGCTCAGCTGAGCCAGCCTAGGGCCACCCGCCTTCAGATTTGAGAAGAAAATAACATCTGCAGCTGTTCCATTATTTGCAGCCCAACACACTCCAATCTCCTTCCCATCAACCCCTGCTGTGCCGAGCTGGCCTGGCTGGGCCTCAGTTCCCTGCACCCGTAAGTGCAGCCCTGCCCCCATGTGAGTGAGAGGCAGCGGCAGGTGCCCACCTTGTGGATGCGGCTGATGATATCAGGGTACCTTCCGGTATTGTCCTCCTGATTCCTGCTGAAGATCTTCACCTCCCCGCCTTCCAAAACGTGGATCTGCCACAGTGGGGGAGCGGAGAGGGACTCAGGGCCGGGTCTGCCCCCAGGGGCCCCTCCTTTCTCTTCTTCACCCCACTTTCATTGGCAGACGGTTCCAGAAGCTCTGGAGGAGGTACTGGTGCAGAGACCTGAGTGAATCCTCTCCTTGGTTCAAACAGCACCTCCCAGCCCTGTGTGTGGAAGTCCCCGCCCTCCTCCAATCCCTACCCTCCTCCCCCTGCAAGCACAGGCACTGACCCTGCGTGTATGTGTTGATCTGTCTGGATGTTGTTAGGCCGTAAACATCATTCTGGGTTTTATGATTTTAATTTATTCATTTTACTACGTCTGGGCCACGGTCCTTGAGTAGTGCTACATATGTGCCACCTAACACGTATATTACCCCAAGAAATAGTAGTGTGTGTATGATGTAATATATGATTTTAAATATATGTATGTATTTTTTAAAATCACTGTCACTATGGTAACTCATTTTGTTCATTTTCTTCTCGGCACTGTATTTCAAAGATCCATCTGCGTTGTTAAGCGTCTACTGAATCCACCGTGTGTAGCCTCCTCAAGGCACCACAGGGTGGCGCCCACCAAGCTCGCTTATCCATCCCCAGGTGAGGATCAGGGTGGAGCCGGCCCCAACTCCCCCCAAGACAGAAGAGCCACAGGGAGCATCCTTACAGCCCAGACCAAGGACATCTCCGGCCCTGGGAGGCACCCGTTACATTAATACACCCACCAACACGGCACGAGTGCAGCCAACGCTGCTTGAGCTCCCACTGCCGTGGGTCAGGACTGTGACGGTATCATCAAAACTGATTCTCAGAGAAACCAGTCAGGTGTCTATGAGCGCGGATTGCCCGGAGATGGGAACTACAGCCCCGAGAGATGCGCACGACCAGATGGCTTGGAACTCAGGTCTGAGGGACCCCATGGCCCTGCTCGACGGCATGCCCCTTTCTGCAGAAGGGATGTGTCCACCCCCTTACCTGTGCCCTCTGCCCATCGTATTTGTACTCGCAGGTGAAAGCTGCCTCCTCAAAGCGCCTCAGGACCTCGCTGACGCCCCGCGTTGGGTGGGCCAACATTGGTTTCAGGGGGACCCCTGGGGGGGTTGCGATGAGAGTGAGGTCAGGTAGGCGGGGTGGGGGGGCACATTAGGGTGACAACCTCAGGATGACGAAGTGATGAGACAGAGGGAACCTGGGTGGCTGAGCCCTGGAGTGCCGCACAGCCCCTCCCTGGCCTCCTGCCTCCCTCTGGACTCTTACGTACAAGAAAACAAGAGTCTGTCTGCCTGCCTGCCTTGCCTTTTGGGGTATCTCCGGTGTAGCAGCTCTAACACAGAAGCGGGAAGTCCGAGCAGAAAAAGAATGGCTTTTGGCACAGGGGACAGGACTGACTTTGGAGGAGAGGGTCCTGCGGCTTCTGAGACGGGTGCGCTCTGGGCAGCGGGCCCTCCCATGGCCGCCCTGGAGGGCAGAAGCCAAGGCCAGGTGGAGGGAGTGGAGCCGGAAGGCGGCCAGCCCAGCGCCTGGGGCCCAGGGTGAGGCTATAGACCGACTCCAGAGGGGCCCGTGGGGCTGGTACCTGGGCTCAGCCTGCAGTGCTCCGGGAGCCGCTCCACACCGTGCTCCAGCAACACGGGGACGATCCGGTCCAGGTCGGGCACCTCGCTGGGGTGGGGGGTGAGAACAAGGTGGGGCATGTGTTTCTAGAACTCTGCTCTCTGGCTACAAGATCCACCTCTGCCTGCCACCTGGCTCCAGGGCCTACTCCTGCCTATCCCCGACTCCCCTGTCGCCCTGTTTCTGTCGCAGTCCTCCCTCAGTGTCACTATATATCACTCTGACTCTGTCTGCCTCGAGCCGGGCCCGCCATCACTCCCGTCTGTCATCATGAGATGAGCGATCCTCTACCTGGGCTACATGTCACAGCCACTCAAGGATGTGTTCAAAAAAGTGTTTCTTCAAGGCCAGCCTCCACTTGCAAAGATTCTGATTTAACTAGCCTGGGCAGGCCTGAGAGCGACAGTCTGTAGGTGCCCACGCAGGGGCAGAGTTAAGGCTGCCGCCCTGGCCCCAGAGGCTCTGCAGGGCTTGTCTGTCTTGTGTATCCAGCACCCAAGGGGCCTGGCTCAGAGCAGGTGCCCCGTGGGCATTTGTGGAATGGCTCGTTTGCCCTCCTGCCGCTGACACTCCATCTGGGCTGTCACCGTCCCGCTGTGGCCAGCCCTGGGTCGGTAGCTAGCCAGGTCCCTCCATGTGGCTCTCTCTGGAGCCCTCACCATCACTCCACAGACCTCCTCTCCGTGACTGTCACGACCACTCACTGTGCGTCAGTCACTAGCCCCCATCTGGGGCTCTCGTGGCCTTTCCACATGCGCAGTCCTGTTTGGAACTTGAAAACCTCTTGATACCTCCTCCTCTTCTCTGTGTCTGCATCTCTCCCTGTCCCTGTGTCACTGACCCTTCACTGTTGGCCATCTTCCCAATCTCTGTCACCATCCCTGTGCCCAGCACCAGTCTCGTCTGGATCACCACCCAGTGCTCTGTCACTAGCCCTGTGATGGTCACGGATGCTTGCTGGCTGCTGGCCCCTCCCACTTCACCCATGACCCCTCGGGCCCTTCCCACCGCCCCCCTCTGGCTCCCCCCACCCCCCTCGCTCTGCCCAGGGCCCCTGGAACTCACCAGAACGTCTGCTTCAGGATCATGCCTTGCTCCTCCAGCCATGTCTTTCTGGCCTCTGCTGTCTTGCCCTTCCCAGCATCCACCACGGCTGGGGGGAATTCTAAGACAAGCCCCAGCAGAAGAGACTTTGGGATGGGCCCAACCCCGCTCAGCCACCCGAGTCCACGGTGGGTGGTGGCGCCGGGGATGGTGTCCGCAGGGGAGAGAAGCCTGGAGTGGCAGTGGGAGGTGGGAACCACGTGTAGGGGTGGGCGTGGGCATGGACTTCTGACAAGGAGAAGGGCAGCCAGGTTAACTGGAGTGTGGGCATGGGGCCGGCCACGGGGGCTCACCTTGACCTGGCGGGGTGAGGCTCACGGCCTGGGCGAGGGCCGCCAGCACTGACTGCTCTGCCAGCCCGAGGCGCAGCCGTCCACTCAGGGCTCTGGGGAGACAGCAGGTAACGGGGAGTGGGCTTGTCCGTATCTGTCCGACCTCGCCCTCTACCCCTTGCTCCTCTCTCCTCCAGTCTCCCCAACCTCGACCCCCTCCTCAAAACCAGAGCAACCTCCAGAGCCGGAAGTGACCTGAGATCACACAGCCTCGCTTAACAGAGGAGGAAATAGGCCGGCCAGTAACCACCATGACTGCTGGCAGCGCCTGCGGACAGAACTAGGGGCCTTGCAGGCGTCTCTGCCTCTCTCCTCAGCTGCCCTCTGAGAAACTGGAGTGGCTCGGGGAAGGTGGGGCAGGGCCAGAGCTGGGCCTGGAACTGGAAGGCAGCCTGCCCCAGGGATGCCAGAGTGTGATGGTCAGGAACCTGTCCCCGCCACATGCCTTGCTTTGAGCCAGCAACCTCAGGCAGGAAGCTTCACCTCCCTGTGCCTCCATCTCCCCTTCTGTAAACTGGGGTGAGGCTAACAGGGCCCACCTTCAAGAGCCGCAGGGAGGAAGAAAGCACGTGGCATGGGGCAGGGTACCCAAGAAACACTCCAACGACTATGTCGGACAAATACTTCAAGGATGGCTACCACTTGGCTACCTTGCTTACCGTCCCCACTCAGGCCAAGGCAGACATCACTAATCAAGCGCGGCACTCTTCACCCACGAGCCCCCACCCTTTTCCAGGCAGTGCTACTGAGAAGAGGAGCCAGCTGTGAAAGGAAACCTATGTTCCCATCCCGCCCCCTCAGGGCCCAGGCTCCTCTCTCACGCTGTTCTCATCCAAGGGCGGTCGGGGCACTAGCAGTGATACAGCTGCCAGTCCCTCTCCACCTTCACCTCTCCCCACCCTCACAGGCCCCCATACTCACCTGGCGATGAATCGTGCTTCTGAGTGGCGGCAGGCCACAAAGAGGCCTTTGATGACGTCCATCTTCTTGGCTGTGGACTGAAAATATGGGGGAAGGGCAGTCAGTGCCTGGGGTGAAAGGAGGGGAGGGGACCACACCTCCCCACCAACCATGCTGCCTGGGGAGCTGCCACTCTTGGAATACCTGCCGCCTTCCCCCCCCTCGCTCCCCCATCCCATGACCACGCGCTCACAGCGCGGTGAAAAGCTCGCTCTCTTCTTGCCTCCCACCCTAGCTTTGCTCAGCACGTGTTTATGGAGCCGTGTCCCACGGCCCGCACTAGATCAGGGCTAGACTCTCAGGAAGAGGTTCCCTCGGTCTTGAGAGCAGCAGAAGGAAAGGAAGCTCTGATCTCACAAGCAGGACCAAGGCGATCCAGCCCTGAACAGTCTAACCAGAGCCTTTTGGGTCCCCAGGGGCAAAGGGTCTGGAGAGGGGGTGAGCCGCCTGCCCACTCACAGCGCTGCCGGCCAGCTGCGCGATGTCCCGGAACTTGGTGAAGACGCCGGAGGCGGTGAGGGCGGGTGGGGGCAGCATGAGCCTCTGGGTGCTGCGGCTGCTCTCGGCCACCAGCCCCACGTCGCCCTTCTCGGCCGCCTCGGCCCGGACCGACTCGAGCTGCCGGCCTTGGGGGGCGGAGAGAGAGGGTGCTGAGGGCAAGGAGAGGTGTGGCCACACGGCTCCCGGCTCCAGGCGGCCTGGATGATGAACCCGTCTACACCAGAGGGGATGTCTGGGGTGGTGTCATCAGTGTGTAGATGGGACTTAAAGCCTTGGGGTGGAATGCGATCACCAGGGGAGCAAGTGTAGACGGAGAAGGCGGCCAAGGGACCCTCTGCCTGTCCTCCAGTTGCTCACTAACATCCTCTGGCAGAGCCCAATGGGCCTTTGCTTGTTTTCTGTCACCTTATCCTTTTGAAGTCATCAATTTAAATACAGTGGAGGTGCTCTGGCCTTACTTATTGTCTAGGCTGGGTCCCATGGACACCCCTTGCTGTAAGAGTAGGCAGCTGGACCCCTATGTTCATAGCAACACTAGTCACAATAACTAAAACATGGAAACAACCTAAATGTCCATCAACAGATGAAGGGATAAAGATGTGGCACATACATACAGTGGGGTACTACTCAACCATATAAAAAGGACGAAATAGTGCCCTTTGCAGCAACGTGGATGCAGCTAGTGAAGTCAGACAGAGAAAGACAAATACCATATGATATCACCTATACGCGGAATCTAAAACATGACACACATGAACTTATCTACGAAACAGAAACAGACTGACACAGAGAACAGACTTGTGGTTGCCAAGGGCAGTGGGTGGGGTAGGGAAGGAGTGGGAGTTTGGGATTAGCAGACGCAAACTATTATATATGGGATGGATAAACAACAAGGTCCTACTGTGTAGCACAGGGAACTATATTCAATATCCTGTGATAAACCATAATGGAAAAGAATAGGAAAGAGAATGTATATATATTGGGTTGGCCAAAAAGTTTGTTTGGTTAGTGAATACATTGTTCAAGAAAGCTCTTGGTGAAAATGAAAAATGTGTCTTTTTATTTTTACTTAAAACCGAACGAACTTTTTGGCCAACCCAACATATGTATAACTGAGTCACTTTGCTGTACAGCAGAAATTAACACAACATTGTAAATCAACTCTACTGCAATAAAATACATTCTAAAAAGAGCAGGAGGCTGGGAAGGTGGAGGCAAGCTATCACAACAGCTCTGCCTAGCAGTTCTCAACCTATCAGAACCACAGGCCCTTCCCAAGACAGGCATTTTGTGTCACTCCTCTCTACTCCGGAAGAAATGCAGAGATGACACAACTTACCCACACGTATCAGGTCAGCACAATGCCCCAACTCATGTACGAAGGAAACAGAGGGAAAGCAATTCACAATGAAAAAGCACGCATTTCAATCTGTGGCCGCTTGGCCAGAGATTTTTTTTTTTTTTTGACAACGACCTACACTTATCTATTCCATAGCATCGCTGATAAGCAAAATACAAAGCAGGTTCTGGTGTCTGGATCCACCCCAACTCACTTCCAAAACAGTTATATTCCAAAGCTTTATCTGGAAGCCACGAGGACACATGACCGAGTTGCCAGGCCCCCGTGCCTGTAAGTGGTATCACCTGACCAACTCTCCACACCCCTTGGGCCGGGCAGCCGAGGGGGGCCTGAGGAGACACGTGTGAGTGTGAACACGGAAGGGCGGAAACAGCCTCGGCCCCTCGGTCCCGTCTGGCAGCGAGGCCGGGCGGCACTGGCTGCCACCTACTCTCCACTCCTCACTATGTAAGGAGGAGAAATCCTTCTTCCTTTGCGCCAGCGTGGCTGGGTTTTGTGTTACTGGCAGAGGGAAGTATCCTAGTGGACACAGTCTGCAGCGGGTCTGGTGCGATGTCAGCACCTAATGAATGTGTCTTGAGCGAACGCGTGGGAGGGTTCTGATCTCAGCTCCTCTGGTTCTGACGACCCCATGACTCTCTTCCATTCCCGGTCAATCTTCCTCAGGCACCTTGTCCTCTCACGAAACCCTCAAACCTCTTCTTCCTTAAGCGCTGGTGCTGTGCAAGGTGTGACTCAAAGCCCCGCCCCTCTCCTCCCCAGAGACCCTCTCCCTGGGCACGAGAACTGGCCAGCACGTAACCAGGCCTCCAAAGTTCAGGGCTCCCAGATCCTGCTCTGTGACCCAGATCTCCTGAGCTTTGTTTCCTCGATTGTTGGGTGGCCCACAGATACAGGTTGGTCCCAAGCTGAATTTAGTAACTTCCCCTGGACCGGCCTGCCCCTCAAGGTGTCCTGACCTGGTGGTGGGTCCATCATGATGGACCCGGGGGTATTCTTCTCACCTCCTCCATCCCTGACCCCCGCAGGCAGTTCCCTCCTGGGCCCCGTCTCCCTTCTCTTGCCCTCTCCTCTGCTGCCCACAGCTCCCCTGGACCTCTGCCCCACTTCCTCCCCGGCCTCCTGGTTTCCTGTCCATCCTCCACACGGGCCCAGAACTAACCCTGCCCTTTGCCTGCTCAGGACCTTTCCACAGCTCCCTGACGCCATCACAATAAACACGGAGCATTCAAGGCCCTTGGTGGGCAGGAGGCCCCGTCCACATGGCCAGCCAGCCTCTCCTAAGCACCAAGGACTCGGCCCTCGGAGGCTGCCGGCCCCGCCCACACCCTGCTCTTTCCTCATCTCCCCTCGTGACTCTGCTGGTCAAAGCCCAGCTACCTCCACAAGCCCCAGCCCTCAGTCCCGGCCCCGTCCTGCTCTGGGCCTGCAGCACCTCCTCCCACCCCGACCGGGTCTCAGCGCAGACCTGGTCCTGCTCTCCCCCCCAGCACCCCGCTCGCTGCCCTCGCTCTCCCCGTCTCTCCACCTTCCCAGTCCCCCTCCATCATCTCCCAGGTGCTCCCGGCCTCTCCACTCCCTCCCTCGAAGCTCCCCCCACCACCGCTGGGGCTTCCACCACAGTGCCCCCCTCACCTGTGGCCTGGGCCACCGCCTTGAGGAGGATGCCGTCGCCAATGCCGAGCTCCAGGCCCTGCTGGGGCGGCCCCAGGCGGTTGAGGCTGAGGTAGAGGATGGGGAGGAGGTCAGCAGGTGACAGGGCCGCCACGGAGCGCAGGAGGTTGCTCAGTGTCTCCACCATCCGGAGCCTGCAGGAGGGGACGGGGCGGGGGGATGTGTGTGACCACCTGGCGTTTCAGGACCAATGTGGGGCGGCGGTGGCGGGATAAAAGGAATCCGGGAACACAGACGAGGAGAGGGCTCACGACCAGTGCCCGGTGTGTGACCCGAGCCACAGGCACCGTCACAGGCTGCTGGGGGGAAAAGGAATTCCATTTGACCGTCATCTGTACAGAAGTAACAGCTGACGCATATGGACTGTTTTCTAGGTGCAGGCACTGGTGTTAAGCCCTCTGCATCCTCTAACTCCCTGAACTCTCACAGCTCCCCTGAGCTAGATATTATCTGATTTTACAGGCAAAGGAATGGAGGCGTGGAAAGATCATGTAACTTGCCCAAGGTCACAGAGCTAGTATCAGACTGAGATGGGGTTCTCGCTACAAACAAGACCTGGATTTCCTCTAACGTCGAGGCATGTCAGCCAGGTGGCGGCTACTTCTGACTACCTAGGCTACACTCCGTTCCTGCCACCAGGAGGTGGGGGCTGTTTCCTCACGCCAGGGGTCTGGGCTCACCCTCACATCTTGCTCTGACCCACAAATGAGGCAGAAATGATGGCTGGGCCTCCTGAGCCTGGGCCTCCAGAGGGCCTGCAGCCACTCTCGTGGCCATGCCCGTGGCCTGTGATCTCGTGTGTCAGGGTGAAGCTGAGAGAGGAGAGGTTAAAAGGATTAAGCAGCTGGAGGCACAGAGGCTGCCAAAGAGACAGAGCCCGAAGGGCCTTCACCCAGCGGCCCCGGCCAGGCCGGCCTGGTTAATTACCGTGCAGAAACCTCTTCGATCTTCTCAAACGTCCGGGCCACAGCCAGGTAAGGGACTCTGCGGGAGGAAAAGAGAAAACAAGAGCTGTGCGTACACCCACGCTGCCCCTCCAGCCACCTTCCTCCCCACACCTCCCTGGGGACAGCCTTGCTAAATCCCCAGATGCACGCAACCCCGCCCAGCCACTGCCTGGGGCTTTCTCTCCGTCCCCTTCAGAGCTGCCGATGGTCCTCCCAAAACACGGAGGGGAGAGATTTGCCAGTTTTCTCCCACTGAAGCCTCCGGAGACAGGGCCTCCCGCAGTGCCAGGGACTGGAGAAGGACAGTCTGGGGAGGGCCAAGCCTCACCTCTGGCCCACCTTCCAGCAAGCATCTTCGACGGGATGGTAGTTGTTCTTGGCAGGATTGTAGCTGGATGGGTCCAGGTGTCTGTGGAGGGAAAAGGGAGACTGTAGGGTAGATGCCTGGGTCGAAGGGAAGTCATTCCTCCCGCTAATATTTATTGAGCACCTACTAAGTGCCAGGTACTATTCCAGGCACAAGGGCACAGAAGAGAATGAAAACAAGTTTGCTAACCTGGAGCTCACATTCCAGAGGGAAAGTCAGGGGGAAAAGACAAACAAACAAAAAAACGTAAGTGAATAAATCATTTTAGATAAACAATATTTTAGAAAACCAAGTAGGGGGAGGAATCACGATGGTAGGTGCTACTTCAGAGGGCGGCAGGGGAAGGCCAGAGGAGATGTTTGGGCAGAATGATGTGAGGAGTGAGCAGTGTGGGTACCAGAGAGAAGAGCATTCCAAGTGGGGGGAATGGTGAGTGCAAAGGCCCTGTGGCAGACACACGCCTGGCATGTTTGAGGAAAAGAAAAGGGGTCAGCGTGGCTGGAGTGGAGCAGCGTGATCTGAATGCTTTTCAAAGTCCACTCCAAGAGGCAAGGACCTCCCCCGGCCTCTCGGCCAATCCCTCCCTCACACTCTGGCTGGAACAGCAGGAGGAGGGTACAGTCCCTGGGTGCCACAAAGAGCCAGGAACCGTGTTAAGAGCACTACATCTGCTAGCAATCAGCCCTGTGGGCAGGGACTCTTCTACCCTCCATATCCAGATAAGGAAACTGGGCACAGAGTGGTTAAGTAGCTCACCTGAGGTCACACAGCTAGTAAGCACCACAGTTCCAGAGACTGTTCTAAACCTCTACATTATACATGCCTCTAGAAATGCCTCACACTGACCCCAATAGAGCCACCGCAGTCACGCTCATTTGGGTTAAAATCCCTGCTCCATCACTGACCAGCTGTGTCGTGGTGAGGAAGCAGCTTCCCTCTCTGAACCACAGTGTCTCCATCTATACGATGGAGCCACCAGGAGTCCCTACCCTGACATGTTGTCATGAGGTTAAGGAAGAAATTATGGTGAGGGTTCCCACTCCTTGGTGCACTCTGTGGGGAGCATTTTTAGAACAACACTGACTCCCCAGCCTCAGGCCAATTTCTCTACCGAATGTGGGGGGACAGAAGGGCGAGGGAGAAGACTTCAGATTTTTTTCAACTCTTCAGCTGATCCTGATACACAGACAGGGCTGAAGATGGCTGAGCTGGACAGAGCATGCTCAGTGAGCTGTAAGGACTCAGCGTTTGGTAAGTGGTAGCCCTCCTGGTCCTTCCTATCATTACAATGAGAGACGGCGGAGCGCGGTGGGTAAGAAATTCTACAGCCACACTGCCTGGTTCAAATCCCAGCTCCACCATACATCCCGTCTGCGACCTCAGCAAGGCAATCAAAATTAGGAACAATAACAATAACAACAATAATAATAGCAGCCACAGCTTGCTGAGCTTGCGCATGGCCTGGCCCAAGTCTAAATGCTCCAAACCCTCAGGAGGAAACTGGCCCAGAAAGGCTAAGCCACTTGGCCAAGGTCACACAGCTGACAAAGGTAGAGCTGGGATTTCTAACCTCTCCACAATACTGTCCTGCCTCCAAGCCTCACTTTTCTCACCTGTGAGATGGGGATATCAACAGAAACAACACACAAAGTCGCTGTGAGGCTTCGATGCATTAGGATATGGAAGGCACACTGCCTGCTGCCTGGCACACCGTTAACAGTGGATAAAAGAGTGTGTTTTTGCCACTGATAAGCCCCCATTTTAAAAGCAAGGAAATTGGAGGCCCTGAAAGTTTGTCTCCTGGAGGCAGCCATCAGCGATCAAACTGGGAATATGGCATAAGCAAAACCATCACAGGGCGTCCCTGGTGGCGCAGGGGCTGAGAATCCGCCTGCCAACGCAGGGGACACGGGTTCAAGCCCTGGTCCAGGAAGATCCCACATGCCGCGGAGCAACTAAGCCTGTGCGCCACAACTACTGAACCTGTGCTCTAGAGCCCGTGAGACACAACTACTGAGCCCGCGTGCCACAACTACTGAAGCCCGCGCGCCTAGAGCCTGTGCTCCGCAACAAGAGAAGCCACCGCAATAGAAGCCCGCACACCACAATGAAGAGTAGCCCCTGCTCACAGCAACTAGAGAAAGCCCACACGCAGCAACGCAGACCCAACGCAGCCAAAACTAAATATAAATTAATTAATTAATTAAAAACAAAACAAAACGATCATAGTATCACATGAAATAAAAATCAGGACATAAAACTTCATGTCAGACAATGATTTTGTTAGAGAAACTTATTTATAAATAACCTAAGCATGGACACAGGCCCAGAAGGCAAGATGGGGCAGTGCTGAAAAAGAGGCCAGGCTTAGGAACCAAGTGGACCCAGGTTTCAGGCCTGGCCCTACCCCCGCCTCCCTGTGTGACCCAGGGAAGATGACCTAACTTCTCTGGGCTACTAGTCTCAATGTCTGTGCAATGGCTAAAATACCTGCTTCCTCTGCAGGACTACTGCAGGGATGAAGTAAAAAGGCGTAACAGAAACCTTTAGCACCGGGTCTGACACATAGTAGGCGTCCAAGAAAAGGAGTTGGCCGTTCCTACGGTGCAGTCACATGCTGAAATGGGGCCATTTAATCTCAGTAATCAGGTCTCAACCGGGGTACAAAATTGCCATTAAGAATCCCCCCAAAATTTTTATTAGAATAATTAAACCCTAATCACAAAATTTTAAGGCTGAAAGAATGTTTGGTGACTACCGGTCTCATTTTCGGAGGCCTACCTACAATCAGGTCAGAGAGATCTTGGACTCACTGCCTTATTCTGTTTAATCTGCTGTCATCTCTACAATAGATCCTGACTCACCCCTTGGTCTCGTCCTTTCTCAGAGCGCTGGGTCCCTCTTCTTTTGCTTCTTGTTTGATCGCTGGCTTCCGGGGAGCTGGGAATGAAGCAGGGAAATGGTGGGTCCTTTCTCCTTCTGACAGCCCCTGCCTGCCAACCACTCTCCAGCCAGCATTGCGAGAGGCGAGTTACACTTTCTAACCAAGTTAGACTTTCTAACCCACGGGAAGGCCGTACTTTCTGGAGAAAGATCCACCCGCCTCTCCCCGGTGCAACCCTGCAAGGTGAGGGGGAGAAACTCACAGAAGAAACTGCTGAGCGTCTTGGGAGCTTTGGGGGGAGGCTTAGCCTGGCCGTCCTCCTGTGGTCCCTGCTTCACGGCCACCTTGGGCTCTGAAACGCTTTCTGTTGGGGGCTTTGCTTTGAAAGCGAGAGAGGTCAGATGGTGATGCAAACTATTTTTTTAACCTCAAGGTCATTCTGACCCTGAAGATGGAAGACATAATCAATTCTGCCCCTTTCCTTTCCATAGTTTCATTTTGGAGCCTCTCAGGCCTGATGCTTTAGGACTAACTAGTGGAATTCTAGCATCTGGCCTGAGATTGGAGACTTACGGATGGTGGGAAAAAAATCTCGGTACGATAAGAAGAAAATATTCCCACTTCTGCAGGTGCAGAAAATCAGATACGATCCTGCATCCTAAAAATATCCCCACAGCGTTCTTTCTGCCATGGGAGTCTTCTGGACACCTCCCTGTAGGAGCTGTTCTATGGCCTGGAGGGTAACTTTAACCTCTAAAATCTTGTAACTCACCCTGGTTATCTAACTTAAAAAAATTATTGCTCGGGACTTCCCTGGTGGTCCAGTGGTTAGGATTCTGCACTTCTACCGCAGGAGGAGCAGGTTCGATCCCTGGTTGGGGAACTAAGATCCCACATGCCGTGTGATGTGGCCAAAAAAATTTTTTTTAATTAAAAAATTTTAAAATTATTGCTCAATTAATAACATACAGTGCCTACAATTTCTGAAAGATATTTTGTTGGAGGATGACTGGCTCTTTTTTTCCTCACATGCACAGAGGAAAAATAACAATAAAAATAATAATAGCGGACTTCCCTGATGGTCCAGTGGTTAAGACTCTGCACTCCCAACTCAGGGGACCCGGGTTCGATCCCTGGTCAGGGAACTAAACTAGATCCTGCATGATGCAACTAAAAGATCCTGCACTCGGCAATGAAGATCCTGCATGCCACAACTAGGACCCAGCACAGCCAAATAAATAAATAAATATTTTTTTAAAAAAATAATAATAGCAATAGAACCTATAATTTCCCCTAGAATTTGCATTTGGACAACACACTGGAGAATCTTATTTAAGTCTTATCTCATCTGAGCCTTAAATTAACTGTCCTCCAAAGACATCTGACCCCCAAAACCAGAGAGGTGGGGCTTCAGGGAGGAAGAGGACCAGAAACTCACTGGAGGTCTTCAGGGGCTCAGGGGGTGACCTGGGCTGGTCCCCTTCTTCTGCTTCCTTCTTGTTGCCCCCTTTAGGCTCTGTGAGGCTTTCTGTCGGTGTCTCTAATTCTGAGGACCGATTAAAAAAAAAGCCAGATGGCAAAAAGTCACTATGACCACTCCCTACAAAGGGCATTTCGATTCCCAAGACACTCTGCCCCCGTTTTTTCTTCGCTGTGCTGACTGAACATCTGTGAAGTGACTAGAGGTGTGAGAGCCCGCTCCTGGTCAGCCCTGAACCAGGCAGGGCCCTTGAGGGAAACCAACCCCGATGCTCACCTGGGCAGCTAAGAAACAGAGCGGGCCAGTCTTTTCTTATAAACCATTATTTTAGAATTATTCACTGCAAAATAGAACTGGAAAGTGTTCAAAATGCCAACAGTGACTTGTTAGAGATAAAAATAAAGGTGTTGTTTTTTTTTTAAGCTGACTGGAAAAAAAAAAAAAATCCACCTCCAGGGTAATAATAAAAACTGCATCAACTAACTTGGGAAAAATCTGCCTCAGTAGAAAGAAGCCCTACCTCACCCCCCAAAATCCCCAGACACAGACAATGGCTAAAACTGCATGATTTATAGTAAAATTTGTTACTGACTAAAAATTGCCAACTGGAAATCAAATCTCCACCAAACTCAGATCTTCCCCGGGAAAGATAAACCTAATAAGGACCTTTTATTAAACAAACACATTGACAGTGGCAAAGGCTACGATTATTATAATCTCGTACAGGCCCCAAATGATCAATGGATCAGGTCTTTATGGTTGTGTTTCCCACGGAGGACATTTTACATTTTCAAGGGAAATTGGTGACATCTGCTGGACACCGTATGACCTACTAGCTCAGGGTATTTTGCTTGTCAGTATTAGATCACATTCTTGGCAATTCCTGACGTTAGCTTTCTGCAAGGCTGGGTACTCACTGGTGGTGTGATAAAAACCAAGTACTGCACAAAAATCACCAAGGAAAGTGGCAGTGTTCAACCGGATTCCAAAGTCTGAGCAATTGTGCAGTGCCCAGGAGACATCACAATTAGTAACTAATTATGATTATTTAACAGTGAAATTAAATATTATTTTTCCTTTCAACGTTATATGTATTATTTTCTCAAATGCCCAAGTTGCTAGAACATAAATAAATAGTTGTTCAGACATAACAACTTAACAAACCGAACAGTAAAGGTATTGGCCTTGAGGCACCGTGAAAAAGTTGCTAAGGCACCATGGGCCCTGGAAGTTGGCGAACCTCTCTGCTTTCTGGTAAGATTTACAACAAAAAACAAACCATTTAGAGGAAAATATATTCCATATGAGAAACATAAAAATAGAAGAGAAAAATGAGAAGCTGCATATGAATTCGTACTGAATTAAGATGGCCAAACGAATGTATTCCAGAATGTTTTCATGACAAAATTCCCCGGGTGGGGCTGTGGGATTCTGACGGACTCGTGTGGATTCTTGGACAGAGGTGTCAAATCAGTGGGGTCCTCACAGCCTGCCCTCTCAGACAGGCCCCCGCCCCTCCAGATCACACTTGCGCACGCACACACACACACACACACACACACACACACGCACTCAGTCCCACACGCCCCCCCCCCCCCAGATCACACTCTCTCTCTCTCTCTCTCTCTCTCTCACGCACACACACACACACACACACACACACACACACACACACAGAGTCAGTCCCCAACCCCAGGGCCTTACCTTCTTCCTCCTCCTCCTCCTTCTTCCTCTTCTTCTTGGTTCCTCCGTCCTCGTCCTTGCCCTGCTCTTGCAGGACATCCTGAAATGTCCGTTTGGAAAGCTGCTTCCGGGCTGGGAAGGCAAAGGGCTCAGTCTGGGCTCCTTGCCCGCCCGCCTGCCCCACCCCGGTGAGCTCAGACCCCGCGATGATAGGGCCCTGAGAAGGCTCTGGGCCCCTGCCCTCCTCCGCCTGCCCACAGCCACGGCTGCCGTGCAGGCCGCTCCTGCTTCCTGGCTGTGTGACCCCGAGCAGGTTCCTTCATCTTAGGAGCCAACAGCCACCCTCCTCTCTGCCTCACCTCTCACCACACACTATCCTCAAACCCTTCCTGCTCCCCAAATTACACCTTATTGCCCAGAGACGCCGAGGTGGATGGGATTCCCCCGTGTGCCGTGCTGTTCCCACCTGGAGGCCTTTGCACGGGCTGTCCTGGCTGCAACCCTTCCCAACCGCCCTTTCTCAGCACAGCCAACCCTAACCCATCTTCCAAGACTCAGGCCAGATGGTGCCTCCTCGGGCCCTCAATCCAGAGCTCCCCTAGCATCCGGCGTTACCACTATTCTTCCTTATACCAGCACCACCAGTGGAAATATGCAGTGAGCCACGTACATCATCTTTAACTTTCTAGTGGCTACACTGAGAAAAGGAAAAACAACCAGGAGAGTTGTTTGAACAATATCGTTTACTTAACCCAATAAATCCAAAATACGATGATTCCAACATGTTTTGAATATTAAAAGAAATGAGCAACATTCCTTTTTCTATGCTAAGTCTTCAAAATCCGATGCACTTAAAAGCACATCTCAATTGGGCACTAAATTTTCATCAGAAATACTCGATGTGTTTAGAGTTCATGGAATTTACTGTTGAGAAAGTAGCTTCACATATCCGAGTTGATCAAATTATTGCAAGGCTTCAATAATTGAAACTAGAGTCAGCTTTCCAATTTAAATTGAATTAAAGTAGCATTAAAAATTCAGTTCCTCTACCGTACAGCACAGGGAACTCTACTCAGTACTCTGTAATGACCTACACAGGAAAAGAGTCTAAAAACGGGTGAATATACGTATATGTATAACTGACTCACTTTGCTGTACAGCAGAAACTAACAATACTGTAAATCAATTATACTCCAATAAAAATTTAAAAAAATTTTAGTTCCTCAATCACCACGGTTCAGGATCTCAGCAGGCCGTATCACCCTGCGTCATGTGGGGGGTCTCTCCCCTGTCCCTCCCCTGTGTAAAAATCTTCCCAACCCCCCTGGCGACAGAGGCGCCGCTCCTCAGACGGGCTTTCCATGGACCTTCTCTAGTCTCATTGCTCGTTGTCCCCAACCCCACGCTCTGAGCACCAACACACCTACCATCAGTGCCCCCAAGGCCTTTTCCCCTCCTCAGTCCCTGCTCACTCCTCTTCTGTCCCTCAGGGCTCAGCTTGGTTAAGCTCTCTCCTAGAAGTCTCCCTTGAGTCAGGGGCCCTCCCCTGGGCTCCCACAGTGAGCTGTGTGGCCTCCAGCACTGCACACATCACAGTGACAATAACCAGCATTTACTGAGCGCTTACTGTAGACTGGGCCCAGTTCCAGGCCCTTACACGTATTCACTTTTAATCCTCCCAACATCTCTGGGTGGGAGGTACTGTAATTATCAGTCGTTTTACGGATAAAACCCAGAGAAGGGAAGTCATTTGCCCAAGGTCACACAGCCAGTGGATGGTGGAGCCGTGCTCTTAACCACAACGCTAAAATCGGGGCTGTCACGAGGATGGCTGAATGATGCAGAAATCCAAGTGTGGACAAAGACAGGCAACTGAAAGGGCGAGGCCAGGGGGTCCTTACCCGTGCGACGCTTCGGGATCCCTGACGGGGAGACGACCGTGGGAGAGGTGCTAGAGTGGGAAGGGCTGCTCTCAGGCGGTGTGCCAGGACTGGGAGGGGAGACTTGTGGGGAATCTGGAGCACGCTTCTGGAAGGGGAGAGAAAGAGCAATTCCTGAGTGAGAGGAGGAAGGAGGGAGCACCCAGCTACGTCATTTTCCAAGCACTTGAGAATACAGAGGGACTCAGCCCCACTTAGGCCTCATCCCCTCTTACCTGGGCCATCCCTCCACCATCCTGCGTAGTTTCATGGTCCCAGACTGTCCCTATTATGGACCCCAATAACAATTCTTTTTTTTCTAAAGTAACAGAATCTTTGATTTTTAGCTAGGCATAATACAGCCCAACTAAAAACTATACTTCCCAGGATCCCTTGCAGCTAGGTGTGCTCAGGAGCCCGAGGACTACACTTCCCAGCCTCCCTTACATCTAGGTGTGGTCAGAAGCCCCAGGTCTACACAATGCAATGTAAGGATATACAGGTCCACTGGTTCAAATAACATTCACCTAAAGGCAAGTGGAGTGCCCTGCTCTTCCCACTGGCTGAATGTGGGCATTCACTTGGACAAGGGCATCTAGGGATGGCAAACAACAGTATAGAAGCACCCTGGGGCAGAGTTAGCTGAGGAAAAGACGAAGATGACAAGGAAGAAGCAGCTTCTGAGGGGCCTTGGAGGCTCTGTAAGAAGCAGCTTTGGCCTGAGCTGGCAACGCCAGGGGGTTTGAGCAGGGGGGAGACAGGAGCTCACTTCACCATCGACAGACTGAGAAGTGCTGCACTTCAGACGTTATCCTCAGAGCAGCCAACAGGCATGAAATGACTTAAATGAGAGGAGCAAGTGAGCCGATGCACTTGAAGATAGAAAGCCCTCCCACAACAGGAGAGACTGGACGGATTTCCGAGCCCTTCCTCTGTAGCAGGCGTTCTTCTCTGATCCGTATGTGAATCGACTCACTGCACCTTCACAGCCACCCTACGAGGCGAGGGCTATCTATCGGGAGCTGCTCGTGCCAGCTGAGGCTGCCCAGGCACCCCAGGCCAGGGAGCCGAGCCCAGCCGCCCGGCAGAGGCGGGGTTAGGAGCACAGAGACCAGGCAGGACCACTCCACTCCTCCCCCGCTGGGGCATCATCTCCAGAATTCTCCTGAGCAGCCACTGCACTCAGCTCCAAAGGCCACTGGGAATGATGGTTTCTTCTGGTAAATGTGGGCAGGCTGCTGGGGCCCTACCTGGATTTTGGGGGGCTTGGGGGCTTCCTCCTCCTCGTCCTCCCCTTCGCTGCCCAGGACCCGGGCCATCTTCCTCCCTGGCCTCTTCACTGGAGAGTCGCCCTCAGGTACCACTCTATTCCGCTCCTTCAGCGCCACCCTGGAGGATGAGAAAATGGAGGTTTTATTCCAGCAGATAGAGTGGGGACGCTACTCCCAAATTCTCCAGCCCCTTCATTATGTTTCATTCCCCTCCTTGCCTTTCAAGCATTCAATGAACATTTTCTAGGGGCCTCCTCAGCATATACTCTTAGTCACGCATCCACCCATCCCGCTCTCTGGAGGCCTCCTGTGTGCCCACCCTGTGATGGGTGGTGCTGAGGAGCACGTGAAGTCCCTACTGAGGGCAGAGACTGGCCTCCAACATCCCTTTGGAGACGCTCTTTCAGTCATGCAAGCCCGAGTCCCCTAGGTAGGGACTACATTTCCCAGCCTCCCCTGCAGCCAGGTATGGCCATGTGATGAGTTCTGACCAATAGGATGTTGACACCTGCAACCTGCTCCTGACTGCTTGTCCTCACTGCTCTCTTATCCCTAGAACTTCGACTTGCTGACCCCCTTTGACAATGCAGGTGAAGGCAGGACACAGCAGAGAGAGAGGGAGAGAAAGAACCTGGGTCCCAGTACCACCAAGTGGTACAGAGTCACCTAGCTGCCCCAAACTGCTTAAACAGCTCAGAATCTTTCAAGTGAGAAAGAGGCAATTTTAACTTTAACCAAGTCACCATGACTTTGGTTACTGGTAAAGCAGCCCAACGACTCCCCTAACACCAGCTCTGAGGCACTCCCAGTCTGGTGAGGAACACAGACACGGCCGTCAAAATACAACCAATATGCCTGCTGATGGAAGTCACTTAAGGGGCTGAGAACACAGCTGATTCCTACCGGTTTCTGTACTCATAAAGCTCACGGTCTGGACAAAGACCAAGATGTACACAAACACCTCCCTACTTAGGTCAATGACGGCACGCTCTTGTCATGGAACATTAAAGAGAATAAAGTGAGATCAGATGAAGTGGATGGCTCTAAGACTTTTTTTTGTGGGGAGAGAAAGCAGACTGTCAAATCTGTGAGAGGAGTTGCTGTTGATTTTATTCACTGCTAAACCCACAGAGTCTAGGTGCCCGGCACATAGTAGATTCTCAGTAGATATTTGTTGACTAAATGAATCTATACAGTATGATTCCATGAACGTAAAAGATACATGTTTGCCCATATGTACCTGCAACTTGCATACAGAATAATCCTGCTTTTCCTATTTAAAAATAAATTAAAAATGTGTATTATTATCTGTTGTATGTCAAGCATGTGCCAGCGACTTGAGATATAACAGTGACCAAAATGAGAGTCCCTGCCATCCAACATATAAGTGTGAGAAACACTTATTCATTCAGCAGTTCCCTATTGAGCACCTACTATGTGTCGTAACTAACTGTATTAGGCGCATGTATGTTTTTACGCATAGAAAAAAGGTATGGAAGGATATACCTCAGATTGGTAATAGTAGTTTCTCTGGAGAGTAAAACCGGAAGCACTTCAAATTTTTATTTACCTACTTCTGAGCTGATGTATTAATAATTACCATGTGTAATTCCACATGTGGGTATCTATGCTAGAAAAAAAAATCTGCACGTGTGCCCAAGAAGTCACACATACAGACTAAACTGCAGCATGGATTGTTTCAGCCAAAAAGTGGAAACAACCTAAATACCCATCGGTAGGGGGACGTTAAATAATTTCTACAGCACATCCATAAAATGGAACACAGAGCAGAAGGTAAAAGGGATCCGAGGGTCCTTTGTGTTCAGGAGTGGAAAAAATCTCTAAGTCATACTGTCACTGAAGAAAGCAAGTTCAGGAACCATACACGCAGTATGATCTCTATTTTTCAAGACATTAAAACATGTCACAGAAAATAAAACCACACACAATAAGTGTGTATATATAGCAGTGCAAACACAAAAGGGGCAGATCTAAAAGTCGAGAGTGTTGATAAATCATGACCTCATTCTTACCACTGACTGAGCGTCTTTTATGAACCAGGCACTGTTCTACAAGTCGTTAGTGTGTTAATGCATCAAAGCCACACAGAAAGCCTGACATAGATCATGATACCCTGCTACCCGTGAGGAAACAGGTACAGGAAGTGAAGTTACTTGCCCAGGCTCCCAAACTGTGAGCTAAATCTACCCTGAGTGCATGCTTTGGAAAGCTGACCGGTCCAGGGGCAGGGTCTTCCTGAGAATCTGTGACAAGGACGCTGGAGGAAAGAACATTGTTCTCTTCTATTTAGATGCGGCCAGTGGCAGGGTCTCTGCCTCATGCAGTCTGCTCCAGAATGAAGTCAAGACACTGGGACGGAGCCCTGAAGACAACTCTGAGGCCCTGGATCCAGCTGTGCCTGAAGATGACCCTACCTTTGGCTTGTCCAGTTACCGGAGTCAAAAATTTCCCTGTGGGGCCCTGAGATATTCTGAGCCAGGTCCTGACTGATAAAAGGAACAGATTCACCACATCCCAGCCCCAGAACGTACTTTGGAGGGGACTCTGTTTCTCTGGTGCTGTTGGATATCTCCTTCTCTGGCTTCTTCACTTTGCCCTCTTTCTTGGGCTGGAAAAATGACCTGGAGGAGCAGAGGGTGGGGTGCGGAAAAGTGAATGATAACAGAACCAATAACCCCGCTAACACACACCACATTCCACAGCTTCCGATGCCCGTCCCCGTCCCAGGACGCAACAGAAGGCTTCAAACAACCCCCTTAGACCAATAAGGAAAACTGAGGCTTATCAGATGGAGGAGGCAACGCTCTGCTTATTTTTCTGCCCCAACTTGCCACTCACCTGAGACAGGACACACCCCGATTTCCATTCCACAGGGATTAACTATGCACTTACTACGTGCCAAGGCCTGTCCTTGGAAGCTAGGGGCAGGGCAGTGACCCAGACACATATGCCCCTGCCCTGGAGGGGCTGACACTCTAGTGCGGTAGGCAGACATTAGCAAAGAGGTAAATATAAAATGTCCAAAGGCGTTACGTGCTCTGAAAAAGATAAAGGTGCCCTCCCCTCTACCTGAGCCTGATGAGGCTGAGTGGCTTGCCCCAGAGAGCAGAGTACTGAGAGGGGAAAAACAGGGGCTTGACGGCGTAGGGACCTGGCCAAGCGAGGAAGGTTAACATTGCCTACGATGTCTTGGGGACGTCGTGCACCCCCAATATGAGGCAATGAGAGGGCACCTCACCTCAGTGCCCAAAACCCCAGGCTAATTATGAGAATATCGGACAAACCAAACCGGGGGTAAGGCTACAGGTGTCATGACAAAGAAAGCCTGAGAAACTGTCACCCAGAGGAGGCATGACAGCTAAATTCAACATGGCTCCAAATCAGATCCTGGAACAGAAAAGGACATTAACAGATAAACTGGTGAAATGCAAATGAAGTCTGGAGCTTAGTTAAAAGGAATGTCTCCCTGTTGGTTCCTTATTGTGACCAGTGGACCACAGTGATGTAAGGTGTCAACAACGGAAACCGGGTGAAGGGTGTACAGGGACTCTCTGTACAACTTTACAACTTCCTGGTACGTCTAAAATAATTCCAAAATTAAAAGTTTACTTAATCTTTAAAAAATAAAATAGGGACTTCCTTGATGGTCCAGTGGTTAACATTCTGCGCTCCCAATGCTGGGGGCATGGGTTTGATCCCTGGTCAGGGAACTAAGATCCCACATGCCACACACGGAACGGCCAAAAAAGGAAAAAATTTAAAAATAAAATAAAGCAAGGTGACAGAAAGCAATCAAAAGTGCTATCATCCCAGGAGAGACTGTCCCCAGATTTCTCATCACCTGAGAAAAATGCAGCGTAGGATCTGTGTAAGCCACCAACTCCCAGGTCTCTGTGGGTGACATCCAGGTCTGGATCTGTCTAGAATCCACCCCCTCCTTCTGGGAATAGCCCTCCACGTTCCTCTTGTGATGCCCGTTCCCCCACATTCTCTCAGTCCCTATGGTTCGCGTGGGTCTGCCCTTTCACCCACAACCAGGGCACAGGCCCTGGGCCTGGACACTCAAGGCCCTGCATCCCTGGGGCTACGACAGTGGCTGGCTCAGGGTCCGGCATGCGGCCCAAGGTGGGCCAATGAAACTTAACTCTAGATATTGTTGTGACAGCTGGGAGAGAGACCACCTCTCTCCACCGGGATTGCTGACTCTAGGGTACTAAAAGCCTAAGGAAGACAGCCTGCCAGAGTGATACAATATCCAAGAAAGCAGAGCTGAATGATGGAGACAGAGTCCCAGTGAGAAAGTCTGGACAACTGGATCTGACTATTAAAGCCAAGTTTCGGGCTTCCCTGGTGGCACAGTCGTTGAGAATCTGACTGCCAATGCAGGGGACACGGGTTTAAGCACTGGTCCCGGAGGATCCCACACGCTGCGGAGCAACTAGGCCAATGAGCCACAACTACTGAGCCTGCGCGTCTGGAGCCTGTGCTCCGCAACAAGAGAGGCAGTGACAGTGAGAGGCCTACGCACCGCGATGAGGAGTGGTCCCTGCTCGCCGCAACTGGAGAAAGCCCTCGCACAGAAACGAAGACCCAACACAGCCAAAAATAAATAAATAAATTAATTAATTAATTAATTTTTAAAAAAGCCAAGTTTCTACTACACAAGCCAAAGAATTCCTTTTCTGTTTTTCCTGAAGCCGGCCTGACTGAGTACCGGGTTCCTCAAGCCAGGCATTACCGGCATTTCAGGCCAGATCACTCTTCGCTGTGGAGGGCTACCCGGGGCATTGTAGGATGTTTAGCAGCCTGCCTGGTCTTTATCCACTAGATGCTAGTGGGAAATTCCCTCTCCCCCCAGGTGGTGACAACCAAAAATGTCTGTTGTTCCCTGGGGGACAAAACTGCCCCCGATTGAGAACCAGGGGTCAGGGTCTCTGAACCTTGCAACTAAAAATTCTGGTTACTACACTACCTATTTTTCCGATCCCCTTTCCCACTTTCCGTACTGCTCAACTCCTGGAAATCCCTACGTGAAGACTAACCTGAGTTCTTCTAAGATAAGGCGCAGAGTCAGAGAGGGGAGCAGAGAACTTGGAGTATGTAAGCCGGTGGCAGGGGCAGGGGTGTGGGGAGGGTACTTACATAATACTTCGCTGCATGATGGCGTCAGAATCCTCCCCTCCCCTGTCCTCCTCTTCTCCAGTGGGCAGTTCCTGAAGTAGACATCCAAATACTTGGTGAGGATACTGATTGTGCAGGGATCAAAACAGAAACTTCCACACACTGAGGTTTGGGGAAATCACCCTGAAATCTACATCACCTGGCTTGAACTTGACGCTCACTGAACAGCCCATCATATGGCCTGTCAAACGTACAACGTGCAGCTGCTTTAACCAACTAAAGAAGAGAATGCATTTACCAGAAATAAAGAACGTCCACTCTGAAGATAGGGATAAATGTCTCCCTTCCTATGACAGCTGGGCTAGTAGCCCTTCAAAGACAAGGTTCCCTTCCCAGGTGCCACGGCCATACTGACTCACTGTGTCTGCATGCTAATCTTTTTTTTCCCTCTTTTTGAAACCTTGAAGGAATGTACTCCCGGTCGTGTTTGATGTACGTTCTTTGTTCTAACAAGATATAAAACTGTGCTGAAAACCATGCTTCTCTGGAGCAGTTCCTCAGAACTGAGAGGCTGTCTCCTGAACTACAGTCCTCCGTTTGGCTCGAATAAAACTTTTTTTTCTATTCCCATTATAGATCGTTTCTCAATTATTTACATTGACACTTCTTTTCAGAAAGAAAAAAACCCCACAAAATCAGAAACATGAGTTTCCCCATCAAGAAGAAACTCCAGTTTTTACAGACCAAAATGATTTGCTGGTGAGATTTATTAGTGAAGAAAAGGGGTCTGAGTCAGAGAACAGGCGCTTCCTTTACCGTATGGAGCCTGCTTTTTGTCTAATACAATGACATACTGAAGACCAAAAGGTTTTGTTCAGTTGGGTTTTTTTTTTTTAGCTAAATTTTCAGGTTAGTGAAAAAAATTTTTGCATTGATTATATAATATGCTACAATGGCTGTGAGACATGGCAGTTCATCAAATCATACCCACAGGGCTAAATAAATCAGCTGTTGAGCTGTTTCTAAGGTATACTGTTAAGACCCTCGTGGGGGGCACACCAATCTCAAAAGGGTGCGGACTGGATGATTCCATTTACATGACATTCTCCAAAGGACAAAACTCACATGGAGATGAGCAATTGCCAGGGGGCGGGGGCTGTGAAGGGGTAGGTAGCATAGGGAGTTCCTCTGGGGAGACGGCACTGTTCTGTATCTCAATTGTGGTGGTGCGTCCACAGATCTCTGCATGGGATCAAACTGCATAGACAGAGACAGTCACACACACACAGGAGCGCATGTAAAAACTGAACACGGGCTAGAATCCAGCTAACAGTACTGTCCAAGGCTAATTTCCTGGTTTTAATACTGGATTACACTAATATAAGATGTCACGGGCTTCCCTGGTGGTGCAGTGGTTAAGAATCCGCCTGCCAATGCAGGGGACACGGGTTTGAGCCCTGGTCCCGGAAGATCCCACATGCCACGGAGCAACTAAGTCCGTGCATCACAACTACTGAGCCCGCAAGACACAACTACTGAAGCCCGTGCGCCTAGAGCCTGTGCTCTACAACAAGAGAAGCCACTGCAATGAGAAGCCCGCGCACTGCAACAAAGAGTAGCCCCCGCTCGCCACAACTAGAGAAAGCCCGCGTGCAGCAATGAAGACCCAATGCAGCCAAAAATAAAATTAAAAATAAATTTAAAAAAAAATGATGTCACCTCTGGGGGAAGATGGGTGTACTATTTTTACAACTTCCTGTGAGTCTCTAATTATTTCAAAATAAAAAGTAAGAAACAAAACAGAATGAAGGCACTATTACTGCTATAGAAAGAAGGCCTAGATCTAGTAACATTTTAACTAATAATAAATAATAAAGGAGGCAGAACAGTGGATATAATATGCTATTGATTTTGCAAGACAAGGGAAAATAAGAATATACATATTCGTTAGTACTGCTTATTTCAGCCAATCAGAAACTCTGGAAAGATAACCAAGAAAGCAACAGAAGTGGCTGGGGCCGACAAGGTGACGGGCTGTGAGCCGAACTGGTCACTGTGTACCTCTGTCCTGATTTTATTTTGAACCATACATATTTATTACCTGTTTGACTTTTTTTTAAAATAGTAAATCTAAGCCCCAGATAACTTTTCTAATTCTCTTTCTCAGCCCCCCACTGGCTCTTCCCTCTGGTGAGGCCCTGCCCGCCCCCCCACCCAGGGCCAGTCCCCTTTGGCCCAGCTCCGAGCTGATAGGCTGCCAGGAAGCCTCCCGGGGGCACCTGCTGGAAGAGCAGCTCACTTTCCTGGCCTCTCACGGTGGTTAATTAGTACTTCTCTCATCACACTTATTGCATCCACCCCGTGGTCCCCAGATTACGTTCAGTTTAACTTTCCAAACAGATGTGGGGCTCCGGAGCCATGGGGCTGTGCCTGGTTCACTCCCATCTCCTCCAAAAATTATTTCCCAACCTTCAGACATTCTTCATACCACCTTGGCAATTTCCACCATATCTAGGAAAACCCTGGATTTTTTTTCACTGAATTATTTTTTCTGTCAAAGAATCAACTTCTTATGAACTGGGGTGCTTAGTGGGCGGTAGGCACTCTTCCAAAACTTTATATGAATTAATTCATGCAAAAGCTATTACAATTCATCATTGTCCTGATTTTACAAATGAGGTGACAGAAGCACAGAGAGGTCGAGTAACCTGCTCAAGGCCACACAGCCTAATGAGTCGCAGAGCCAGGATCCAAAGCCAGTCGTCTGGCTCCAGAGTCCGTGTCCTTAACCACTAACATTCTGAGGGTGAGGAAGGAAGGGGTCCCTCCATATTGGGATCGAGGGAGATGGAGGTGGCCCTAGATCTGGGGGCTGTTGAGATAACAACTGTACCAACGATAATGTGACCCCATACTACCCAACCACCCACTCAAGCATTTCCAACTGTTATCCCCATGTCACCGATGAGAAAAGTGAGGCACAGAAAGGTTAAATCACTTGTCCTGAATCACAGAGCTCGTGAGCAGCAAACGGGGGATCCAAATTCAGACACCCTGGCTCCAGATCCTAGGCACCCTGCACTCCCATTTCTGTCACTCCCACAGGCAGAACAGCAACGCCTGCCACAAATAGGAGACAGCCGCAAAAATAAAAAGAACAAAACCAGATGATTAGGTTGTAGTTCAAAGCACTGGCTGCTGGACGCTCTGAGCCCAGACCTGCTGCTTTCTCTTTGTTCAAAGCGCTAACTAGCCAAGTGCTGGAGGGGGCTGTGAAAGGCACCCTGCACCAAACGGAGCCTTTCTAAGACAAACTGAAAGAGAATATAAAGGGATTAACTTTCTCCTTATGAGCGTTAGTGTTATTTAATGTCATACCCACACACCACTTCCAGTTTCCTTAAGTACTTCTGTTAATTTTTTAATGTGTGAAACTCAAATCAGAAAAAGCCTTTACTGCTTAAAGAAGCATGCTGAAATAAACAGGGACAAAATGTCATGATGTCTGTAAACTAGTTCAAATATTTCAGCAAATGCCTGAAGTTTGCTTTAAAATAATTCAGGGTTTTTGGGGGGAATTAAGGAGCATATAGACGAAATAAGAATGAACTATTCTGATAATTCCTGGGGCTGGGTAATGGGTACACAGGGATTCATGACACTACTCTCTACTTTTGTGTATGTTTGAAACTTCTACAATAAACGTTAAATTTTTTTATTCAGAAAATCAGACGGTGCAAACATAGCAAAATGTTAACAGCTGTAAAGTCGAGGTGGCGGCGCATTATTCTAGTTGCTCTACTTTTCTGTCTGAAAGTTTTTATGAGTCAAAGGCGAAAAAGTAACCTAAAATTGGGAATAAAAATATAATTTGTGTATACAGCCCAAAGCTCAGAATTCATGAAAATCAATAAGGTAGTGAATAACCCAGCCCCTTTCCCCCTCAAAAAACACTAGTATTGGTACGAGTCCCTCACTTGAGAAAGTTCTAATCTATCCTGGACATGAATTATCTGTCAAAGTCAAGATCTTTTCTTCCCAACCAGCCAGGGAGCCCCTAAATTCACTTCCACACAAGGAAGAACAGAGCCTCACACAGAAGTCACTGCAGGGCTCCCAAGACTTTCAGTCTCTGGGACAATACAGGAATGGAAACCCAGTCCCTGCTCTTGAAAAACCTCACAGGCCCCACTGTCAAAGATATGCAAAGTACGGGACGTCCCTGGTGGTCCAGTGGTTAATGCTCCGCGCTAACAATGCAGGGAGCAAGGGGTTCGATCCCTGCTGAGGGAACTAAGATCCCCACACGCCGGCGCGGCCAAAAAAAAAAATGTTCAAAGTAAATAAGGATGAAATAGGACTCAGCACTCCAACAAGGAGACTGGAAAAAATGAAGGAAGGAACGAACAAACAAACGAATTAACGAACTCGACTAAAACCCAATTTCTTGATTCGAAGCTCAGGGCTCAGGGCCCTGGCGTTACATACCATTTATATGCTGATTTATATCTCAAACAGCCTATTTATTCTCCAACCACCACCCCTAAATTGCCAGCCAACTTCCTTTAGAAACCCAACTCCATAAGTTTCCCAGTCCTTCCCTAAGTCTACAAACCAGTCAATCCTCCTCTTCACTCTCCTTCCGCATCACGTCCCCCCTTCCTGCCTTGACTCGGGTGGATTCCGGTGCACCATTACCGTCTTTCGTCGCTCTCTTGCTCTTAACTCCCGCCCTCCGTCTCACCGTGCAAAACCCCAAAGCTGCTGATTCCAGCCAACTTTCCACCTACCCTGTGCCCGCGCCCGCAGAACGGACCTGGACTGGTCCCCAGGGGTCCTTCGGACTGCGGTCCAATTCTCTCCATTCCCCCAGACCCTTCAACCCTCCTGCTCTCCCAGACCGTACTTCACACTAGCTTCTCCAGCCGCCAGCACCGCCTCCACTCTCCTCCTCGTCGGAGGAAATGGCAGCAATCGGGAGAAAGACAAGTTCCCACCACCTTATCTGCCTCCGCAACTGCGCCTGCGCGCAGGCGCTCCGACTCCCAGCTGTCGGTACTGAGACCACCCAGCTGTGCCCTCACTGAAGGCCAGACCCTCAACCTGCGCACCAGATCTTATGCCCTCTCACCTCCTCAAACCCCATGCTCCAGCACGCCTCTCCCTTCTCTCCTGCATCATCGACTTTTCTCTACTAGACCATCCCTATCGGTTTACAATTCTGCTGTGACTCCTCCTACCTAAACAAACAAAAATCCCTCTCTTGACCCCACGTGCTCCTAGCAGCTATCGCCCCATTTCTCTGCTCCCCTTTTCAGAGAAGTCATAGAAAGAACTGTCCCAAGGCACCACCTCCAGTGTCTCTCCTCCCATCCCCGCTTGAACCTTTAAGTTTTCCCACATCACTCAGCTGGACCTTGCTCATCAAGGGGACCGAGGACCTCTGGGCTGCTAAATCCGAAAGTCATTTCTTGTTCCTCATCTTGGCCCATAAGCAGCATTAGAAACATCTGACTCCTTGCTCCACTGAAATTCTTCCTTCAAACCACACCCTCACCTCAGTGTCTACTATTTCCTGGATTCCTGTGAGGGGTCTTCCTTAGCCACTGCGGGGAGAAGAGTAAGCGCCCCCAAAGATGTCCCCGCGCTAATCCTGGACCTGTGGATATGTTACCTTACGTGGCAAGAGACTGCAGATGTGATTAAGCGTTCTGAGGTGGGGAGAGTACTGTGGATTATACAGGTGGGCCCAGTGTTATCACTTACAAATGGGGCTTCCCTGGTGGCGCAGTGGTTGAGGGTCCGCCTGCCAATGCAGGGGACACGGGTTCGTGCCCCGGTCCGGGAAGATCCCACATGCCACGGAGTGGCTGGGCCCGTGAGCCATGGCCACTGAGCCTGCGCGCCTGGAGCCTGTGCTCCGCAACGGGAGAGGCCGCAGCAGTGAGACGGCCACGTACCGCAAAAAAAAAAAAAAGATGACAAGTGATCCTTGTAAGTGGAAGGAGGGGCTTAGAGTCAGAGATTGGAGATGCTACCTTGCTGGCTTTGAAGATGGAGGAAGGGGCCACGAGTCAAGGAATGCAGGTGGCCTCTAAAAGCTGGAAAAAGCAAGGAAATGATTTTCCCTAAAGCCCCCAGAAGGTATGTAGCCCTGCCAACACCTCGATTTTAGGGAAAACAATTTTAGACGTCTGGCCTCGGAAACTGTAGGAGAATTAAAATGTGTGCTGTTTTAAGCCACTCAGTTCCTGGTAATATGTTACAGCAGCAACAGAAAATGTAGCAACTCACTTTCTAACGGTTGCAGTGCCCAAGGCCCAATTCCTCCTCTCTGTCCTATTTACACCCACTCCGTTGGAGACCTTAAGGCTTAAACATACTCTGGGATGATGACGACCCCAAAATGTCTACCTCTAGCTGTGACTTCCCCTCTAAACTCAAGGACTCATATTTCTAGTTTTCTGTGCTGCTATCTCCATCTGGATTTCTAACCAAAATCTCAGACTCAATGGGACCAAATCCAAACTCTTAGAAAAGACACACACACACGCATACACACACTTTTATCCCTCCTCCAACCAATGTTCTCCGTCTCAGCACTGGTAGCTTTTTTCACCCAGCTGCACAGGTCAAAAACCTTGGTGTCCACTACATACCTATTATTTAATTATCAAACAAGTGACAATACCAAGGGCTGGGGAAGATGCGGAGCAACTGGAACTCTCATATATTTCTGGTGGGAAGGCAAAACGGTCCAGTCACTTTTGGAAAAGTTTGGCAGTTTCTCAAACCGTTAAGCATGCATTTACCATACTGACCCGGCAATCCCACTTCTGGGTATCTACCCAGTGAAATCCTACGTTCACACAAAAACCTGTAACCTAATGTTTACAGTAACAGTCTGTTTATAATCGCCAAAAACTGTAAAAAAAAACCCAAATGTCCTTCAGTGGGTGAATGGATGAACAAATTGTGGTACATCATACAATGCGTTTAATTGCTGGCTAGTGTTCTATTGTAGAATATTCTAAACTTTGTTTACGCTTACTCGGCAATAAAAAGGAGTGATCTACTGATACACTACAGGAATGGAGAGGAATCAGTGGTTGCCAGACGGAGGGCTTAAAGGGAGCCCCAGAATCATTTTTAGGGGTGATGGAACGGTTCTGTACCTTGATTGTGGTGGTGGTGACATAACTCTAAATGTTTCAAAATTAACAGAACTATACACCGAAAAGAGTAAATTTTACTATATGTAATTTTTTTTATTATTATAAAAAAAATCAGTGGAGTTACCAATGATTCAGGTCCGGCTACCGCCACCCCTGGCCTGTTGTACTGTCCCCTCCCTCTTTTTCTTCACAGCACATAGCACAACCTGACCTTATAAATTAGAATTTGTTTCACCCTCTAGAGCAGTGCTTCAAACAGGACTTTCTGCCTGACAGAAATTGTTCTCTATCCGCATTGTCCAGAAAGGGAGCTCTAGCCATATGTGGCTTCGGAGCATTTGAAAGGCAGCTAGTGCGACTGAGGCACTGAGTTTTTCATTTGTTTCTAATTAACTTGAATTTCAATAGCTACTGCTATGTATAAAATAGATAATCAACAAGGACCTACTGTATAGCACAGGGAACTCTACTCACTATTCTGTAATAATCTATATGGGAAAAGACTCTGAAAAAGAATGGATATATGTATAACTGAATCACTTTGCTGTACACCTGCAACAAACACAATATTATAAATCAGCTATACCCCAGTATAAAATAAAAATTAAATTAAAAAATAATAAAAGTAATACCTACTCATAAAAAAAATTCAATAGCTACACGTGGCTAATGGCTACTGTTTTAAGCAGTGCAGGGCTCAAATGTAAGTTCCATAAAGATAGGGATTTTGTCTATTTGTTCAACGATATGGCCACGGGACCTAAAACAGTGCTGGCACTGAATGCACTGGCCCACACACATTCCTTTGATTACTAAAAACTGGGATAACAAAAACATTACTGAAGAATTTACAGTTTATAAGCAAGATCTTTCAAACCTGGAGACCATGGTAACAAGGGGGATGTAAAAGGGTGTTTAGGGGTGAACAGTCTGAGGATGACAGGCCAGAAGCTCAAGTCTGCATTTCTTCTATTTAGTAAAAGCTCACATTTCCTGACCTGTCCCCTATCCTCACCCGACCCCTGTGAAATATTTTCCACCTTTCCCGTAAATATGCTACTCTCCCTCCTGCTCTGAGGTTTAAAACAGCTCAGCATTCCCCCAAAAGACAACTCAGGAAGCTGAGACAGGAGAGGGAAACTGCCTTGTCCAGGGCCACACAGCTGGTCAATGACGGATACTATAAACGAGGGGTGCCAGTTCTGAGAACCCCCAGGGATTCACGTTTAAAATATACCCACCGCACTCCCAGACCTACTGAATCAGAATCCTGGGAATGGAGGGGGAAAATCTGCAGGCCTACCGAGCTCCCAAAGAATCCTAAGATAAGATGAAATTAAGGAGGTCTTACTTAACACGTTCTTCTTGCCTTTTCCTCGTGCCTTCTTCTCAGGCTGCCTAATAAGTCAGAGATTCAAACGGGCTGAAAAGGGGATGGTGGCCAAGGAGTGATGGCCTTAATCCCATTTTCTGCTGGCTCCCCTCACTGATTCTCCTCAGCTTTCAGATGCCAGCTCTCCTTTCCAAACGCCCCCTCTTCCTCCCAAATACTCTCCCCCTTACCCTTGAAGCTACCCCCTCACTTAAGGGCCTCAAGATCCTTCTCTCTTCCCTCCCCAAGCTCTTCTGGCCCTCCCTCCACCATCTCAGGTAACAATTAGCCCAGACCTTTCAGCTAACCTCCTCTATGGCCCCACCCTCTCCCAGGCCTTGGCCTCCTCCTCGCTGTCCAGCCGCCCCTTCACTGCTCTTCCCTTGGCCCTGCCCCCTCATCAGGCATACACAAGGCCAGAGCTCCCCCCGTCCGGAAGGTTCGAGACCTTTCATAAGGCCTTTGCCTAAGCCTAGCTCTTACCACTGATTTCCTCTGGCCTCACCTCCATCTACCTGTGCTCACCCCTTAAAGCTGACCCCTCTCCTTCAACCTTTCCCCCGGCCCCGCCCACTGTTAAACTTTTCCCTAGCCCCACCCCCTTCCAGGTGGGCCCACCTCCCCCGACCCGTCCAACTTCCGGATGGCCTCGCCCACCGACAGCCTTTTCCCCGCCCCTCATCCCTGTATAACCACGCCCCTTCCAGGTAGTCCCGCCCCTCCAGGCCTCTCTTCAGACCCTGTCCCGTACAAGGGTTTCGGCCCTCGTCTACCTTCTACCCGGCCCTGAACCTCCAGCAGACGCAGCCCCGCCCCCTCCAGCGGCCTGCTGCCCGCGCTCTCCCCTCCGCAGCGCGCTCCCCACTGCCTCAGCGACCCCTACGTCCACTCTCTGCAGCCGACCAGGCGAAGGCACAAGCCCCGAGTTTACGACACGCACGCCGTTCCCCAACCCTAAAGGCCCTCACGGCCGGCGCCACTTGCCTCGCGCCGAGCCCGCGCGCCGTTGTCCTGAGCGTCACAACCGGAACCGCTCGGCGATACACTGCAGTCCCAAATTCGCGCCACGGACTTCGCGCGCAGACTTCGGCGGGCGGGGGCGGGGCCGAGCCGAGGGGCGGGGCCGGGCGACGTCCGCGCCGCCGCCACACGGAGAACGCTGGGAGTTGTAGTCTCCAAGACGTGAGAGTGCCAGTAAAGGGGGTGAAGTGGGGCAAGCCCTCCCGCAGAGCACGATGGGAAACAGCCCCGAGCCTTCTGTTGCTCTGGATGAGTGGGTGTGGCTGGGGGGATCTGCGGAGCGACCGGCGGGAAAAGGGAGATTCGGTGGAAGCCGCTGCGCGACGCACGGCGGGAAGAGAGGCGGGAGGCCGCGCGGGGCATCCCGGGAGCAAGGGCCGGGCCGGGCCTCGGCGCGGGGCATTGTGGGATGTGGACGCCGCTCCGGGGCGGGTAGGTGAGTGGGGAGGGGCGGGAAGGGTGCACATCTGGGGGAGGGGAGAGGCACAGCTGGGTGGGACAGCCGGGATGGGAGGTGCCAAGGCAGGCAGGGCTGGGAGGGGTTGCGGAGGCTGGAGCCGGTTGGGAGGGGCTTCATGAGGAGGGAGGCGCAGCTGGACGTGGGGGAGCATTTGGGGTGATGAAGTCCATCTAAGGACGACGGGCCATGCTAGGACGAGGACCCATATCTGGGGGAGGATGATAGATGTAGATGGGAGGAGGGGGCCACAGCTGGGCTGGGCGGTGCATCTGGGCAGGTGGGGACCACAGATGAATATTGGTGACACTTCTGAGAATTGGCCACAAGTGAATGGGGCACACACCTGTACGCGAAGGGGCCATACTAGATGTGGGGAGTAAGTCTGGATATGGGAGCATCTCTGGGAAGCAGAGGCACAGCTGGATGTGGCAACCCATATAGGGGTCACATGTTGGAGAGGAGCAACATCTGCCCAGTATCTGAGACACATCTGGGGAGGAGGGAGCCACAGGTGCATGAAGAATATGACTGGGCGTGAGAGGTCCATGGCTGGATGTGCAGAGCACATCCGGAGATGGAGCATCTTTAGAGGCGGGCACAGCTGGATGTGGGTTATAGCCCCTGTGTACGCTCATGGAAGGGGGAGTTCCAGATGAATGGAGGCACTAGAGGTTACCGCCAAATGTAGGAGGCACATCTGGAAGGGGAGGAGGTCCTACCTGGAAGCCGGGAACACATTCGAGGAGGTGTCCACAATTGAGTTTAAGAATCATATGTTGGGAGAGGGACCCCAACCGTGCCTAGGGATCACATTTATGGAGGAGGTGACCAGAACTGGAGTTAGAGATCAGGATGACAGGTTCCAGCTGTCCCAGGCATAAAGCAGGGGGGTGGAAGGAGACCATAGATGGGCTAGAGGTTCATGTATAGAGATTAACGGGTATATCCCGCCCCAGGCCCCACCTGGATAGAGGCATCAGCACCGAAGAGGCAGGCCGAGAATGGAGGAAGCAGGACGCCTTGGGAGGGGATGGATCTGATACCCACGTGTCCTCCCCACCCCTCCCACCCAGGCGCCCCAGGATGGAGCCCCCACCCGGCACGGCAACGGGGCAGGAGGAACAGGAGCTGCGGGAGAGGGCCTTCTTCTCGTGGGCCGAGTTCAGCCGCTTCTTCGACGCATGGTGCCAGCAGCGGCTAGCGCTCTTCTTCGTCAAGAGCTCCATGCACCTGGCGCGCTGCCGCTGGGCCAGCGCGCCCCCGCTCTACACTCTCATCGATGTGCTCAAGTACAGCTACGTGCGGCTGGTGTGCAAGGACGTGCGCGCGCCCAGCCGGCCCGCCGTGGGGTGCGTGAGCTGAGCCTCCTGTCCTGCTGGGGGCTGGGGGGGAAGGGCGGCCCGGGGGAGGGGAGGCAGTGAGCCCTCACCCCAGAGACTGGGAGGGGAGAGGTGCCAACTAAAACCGCTAAATACACCTTGAAGAGAAGCCTAGAGGGTCAAGGAGGGAAGCTTCCTGAGATGGAGACAGAGCCAGTTTTGCTGGAGGGACCGAGGCACAGACAGAGGGTGGGTTCCACTTAGAGATTTTAACAGAGACCCGTGGAGAGGCAGGGAGCGAGATAGACACACACACCCAAGAGACATTAAAAAAGAAAATTCCAGAAACATGGAGACATGGCACCAGAGACACCAGCCAGCCAGAAAAACAGGTGAGAGCCAGATTTGGGACACCTACAAAGAGATCAGAGGCTGAGCTGCAGAGAAAGCCACAGGACAAAAATAGAAAAAAAAAAGAAATCCATCCATTCAGTAAATACAGGGCCAGGTCCCATGCTGGGAACTAGGGATATCTCACTTGGGGGAGTGGGGAGTTTAGCAAGACAGACAAATTCCGGAACTTTCGTACCGGACAGAAGACTGACATGATATGAACAAGGTCACAAATAGTTCCCTCCGACTGTAACGCTACAAAGGGCTTGAGGAATCCAAGAGGGCTAGGAAACATACCCAAGTGGCCAGGGGTGTTTTAATTGACCCCAATTTTAAACAATCCCCATACAATGTTGGGTTCCCAGCTTCCCTTCAAGCTCGGGAAGAGGCTGAGACCTTGTTCTCTTGTGGCAGATGGCCACCCCAATTAGACGGGGCATTGGCGCTCAGGTTGGCCCCAGACTCCACTGCTCTCTGCCACCTCATCCTTTGCTACATCCTTGTTTTGCCTGTCTGGCTCCTGTCTGTGTGTGAGTTGGAGACCCTTGGGTGGGAGCCACGGACAGAGGGGTGCACTTAAGAGCACAGGCTCTGCCTGCTGGCTGCTTGAGACCGGCTCCACAACTTCCTGGGTGGGTCTCTTTGGGCAACGGACTTCACATCTCCAAGCCTCAGTTTTCTCATCTCTGAAAGGGGGTTAGCGCAGTACCTGCCTCGTGGGGCTGTTAAGAGGTTACCGTGAGCAGGAAGGCGTTTACCCAGTGCCTGGAACACGGGGCGGCTGGGTACAGGAGAGCTGTTACAGGAGTCAAGAGCACAGACCAGGGAGCTGGCAGCCTGGGTGCCCACCATGGCTCCGCTGCTGACCAGCCTATGACACTGAGCTCGTGACGTCCCCTTTCTGGGCCTCAGCTGCCTCCCTGGGAAAAGGCGAGAAGTAATAGTATTGATCGCGTAGGTTTTGTGAGGATTAAATGAGCAGATACATGCCAGTCATTCAGAAGAGAGCCCAGGTGAGCACTCAGTACCAGTTAATTAAACACTTATTGTGAGAATTAGGTTCTCAGTAGCTTACTCACTGCTTATTCTGGAAACAGACTTGGAGATCCGGAAGCAGAACAGGATCAAACAGCCATCATCACCCAGATACCTAGAACACGAGAGCTTGCCGGAAGCTTAGGCCCAATCTGGAATCTCTCCTTGTTAACAGAACCCAATGCAAAGCAACAGGCACTTGCTGAGTCCCTACTGTGTGCATGCTCTTCGAGGGGCGTGTGGAACCCAGAGAGCAGGTCTCTGCCCTTGAACAGCTCAGGATCTAATGTAGGAGATAAAGACACCCCCCACACACACAAAAAAAATGGCCCAAAGTAGTGAGAAAGACGTTGAAGAGGGAGATGGAGGAGGATAAAAGAGGAATGGTCAGCTCTACTGAGAGTTTCTAGGGTGGATCTAGAAGGCTTCCTGGAAGAGGTGACCAGTAAGTGGAGCCTAGAAGGATTTTCTTTGTTTATATATTTGTGTATGTACAGTATTTGACTTAAACACATGGCACATATTACATGCAGGCACTGTCCCTCTACAAATATCGGAGGGGAGCCAGGGGGCAGAAGGGATGGGAGGGAGTGACAGGCCAGCCAGGAGGCAAGGACAGTGCCTTGGGCTTGGGTCTGGTGACTGGGTGGACAGTGGGATGTTCCCTGGATGGGGAGCCCATCACTTCTGAGCCCCTCCATCCCTCTAGCTGCTCAGGCAGGGCCTGACCAGTGTCACAGCCCAGGGACCGAGGACAGAGTCTGGAGAATTAGTATATTAGAAAAGGCTGGACACGTGGCTGGCATGGTGTCAGGCCCAGACCTGCGGGGCTGAGTCCAAGGGCTGGGACTTTATCCTAGGGCACTGAGGACCCCTGGGAGGGCTGTGAGCAGCTCTGGGGGTAGGAAGACCCTCTGGGGTCTCATGGGAGATGGACTGGAGGAGAGAAACTAGAGGCCAGGCAGGTGGCTGGAGCTAGGGTCCAGGGAACTCACAGAAGGGCCATCTTTCCGGCCGCTCCTTCCGCCTTTCCTGGAGGTTGCACGGTGACCTCCAAATCACCGTCCCTTCCTCTTCCCCCCTCCAGCTCTGGCGCTCTCCCACTCTCCCCCAGCCTCTCACGGCACCTCCGTTGCTAGAACAGGATTGCCAACCTTTCCCAACATACACCAGCCTTTGGAAACACAAAGATCTTGAGAACCTGAAAGATCTAGAAGAAATGGGCAAGTGGAGTGCAAAACAAAGCAATGGTACTTTTTAAATCTCTTTGGCTGCACTGCGTGGCTTGCGGGATCTTCCCGGACCAGGGATTGAACCCAGGTCACAGCAGTGAAAGCCCGGAATCCTCACCACTAGGCCACCAGGGAAGTCCTAGCAATGCTACTTTTAGAAGAAAAAAAGATGTTTGAAAATAGCAGCGACTTTTTTAACTGTTTACCAGGCGCCACCCCTTTTCTAACCATATACATAATTTAATCCTCTTACTGAATCCTCTCAACAACCCTGCAAGGTCAGTATTATTATTAGCCCCAATTTCCAGAAAACTGAGGCACAGAGAGGTTAAAGGAGTTTCCCAAGATAACACAGCTGCTAAGAGGGAAAACCAGGATTTGGACCCACACAGTTTGACCACAAGACCCATGTTTTTAATTACCATTCTATCTCCCTCTTCCTCTCTCCCTCCCTCTCCTCTCTCTTTATTTCACTCATGGATCGTTAATATGAGAGTTGAATGTGCCGACACCCTAAGGATATCTTGGTCCTGGGTACCATGTGTTTGTTCATTCATCCAAGAGGTTCGTTTTGAGCACCTACGATGTGCAGGGTGTATCTGTTTTAGATGCTGGGATTTCAGTGGGAGTACTCCACATTCAGTGGGGAGCATTCACTACAGATGGGCATCAATCAAATCATCACCCCAATATGTGATGGAATCTGCCTGGGGATGGTCAGGGAAGGCTTCCTGGAGGAGTGATGCTGTGAAGGATGAGTAGGACTTAATTAGATGAAGGGAAAGGATGTTTCGTGAAGAGGGAGAGAACTTACAGTAAGATGGT